GTACAGTGCCATGAAACATTCCACTACAACTAAAGCACAGAAGGACATTTCAAAAGTTTTTAAAAATACATTTCAGTTAATTGCTGTTTCCAGATATTTTTCTTTGATTTTTATAGGTGTCAACAGGAAGCAACCTTATTCTGCCATGGAGCCATGTCACTCATATTAGCCCTGCAATAATGTCAGAATACCATGAGCCACAGTCAACACTCGCATTAGCTTACTCAATGGATTCACATACAGTAGCAATTTAGCAATATGTTAGACATTTCCAAATGTATTCATGCATTGTTAGTGTTCATGATTTTTAGTGCCATTTTTTTAGTATTACGCTTGTAATGTTTCAAATAATCATCAAGCATTCTGCCTCTAAAGCTATGAAATAGCCTATTGCTGATATTAATTACCTGCAAGATATGCAGTTGGTACTTAAATGGTATGTTTTGAACAAATTACAGTGGTTTTAGCCTTTGTATGATGTTGGTGAGGTCAGGTTAAATCATGTACATAATTACAAAGTAATTGAAATATTGATATGCCAGTGTCAGAGACGACGTGTTGACAGTGTAGGAATAATGGTTTGATATTTATTGGGCCATTAAACGCCACCATGTTTCATCCCTAAATTGTAGGTGTTACTGTTGACAGATGGTTTAATTGTACTCCCTGTATCTGATCATGGATGTGTGTAGTTGACAGAGCATAACGAGCTCCAGAGACCCCAGAATGTTAACGATTCCTGCCTTGGCTGGAGAGAGGTTTGCACAGACCTTGAGCCTGCCTGCCTGCCTGCCTGCCTGCCTGCCTGCCTGCCTGCCGTCTCAGCATGGCACCCTGGCATCCCGACCAACAGCACTTGGCACTGCCCACTCAGCGCAGTGCAGAGTGGCACTCTGTATAATGGAATCAGCAGGGGAGGCTTTTGATCTTAATTGCATGCCGACTGCAGACTCCATCCTTGTCTCCGCTGTTTACTGCTGACTCCTCTCTCACTGACAGAGTTGATGCAAGAAGCTTCTTTCAGAGCCTTTCTTTAACCAAAAATGTGCCTTATTAAATAGGATCATACATATATTGTTTCTAAATTATTCTATTGGTAACCTAGGTGATTATGATGATGATAGTGCTATAGACACAGCAATGTATTTGGATTTGTGATATTATGTGTGCTGTCTAAAATGCTAGATACCCTGCTGCAGCCATTTGCGTGCCAATAGGCTGAAGACATTTCAGTATGATTTCTTTTATGGTTGCAGTCTTGATGTGTGCATTTCATTTGGGTGTCTGTGGCGTGTGCTTAGTAGGACTTTGGTGGTTGAGGCAAAAAACAGTGGCCAATGTGATTTGGATTTCCCTTGAAAATGTCTGCCATTCCTAAATTAGTCTAAAGTCAAAAGGGTATCCTTATGTAGACTGAATATAGCGCAAAATTGTTCCAACTGTGTTTTTTTTGCCCTGTGTTTCTAAGCTATTCCACAGTGTGTACTGTATGATAAATGACTATCTATACTCGACAAATGACCTTTCTTACTGCTGTGCAGTTATTATTTTTATTTCTTGTTTCCTATACCATATAAATCTTTGTAAAACATGTTGAAATACTGTATTCTAACTGTATAATCCTATGCATTGAGTCCTGGGACAAAAACAAAAAAAGAGGAAAAAAAACAGTTTGTGCAGTTGTCGAGACTTTTTTCCATTTTGAAACTTGTGTATGTGCTGTAATGATAAAACAAACTGGGACACTCCATTTTCAGTACAGGACCATTAATGGCAGCCGACCCCCACCCCCATCCATCCAAGGCAGCTCAGAAGATTCTCGATCTTATACCTGATCTGGTTGTACTGGATGAACTTAATTTTACAAATTTATGTGTGGACGGAGCAGTTACCCCCAGGTTTCATCATACACTCCTCCGTGAATAAACTCAGAGACATATACACCCTTCATATCTGCTGTGTTTTCTTTCACTTTTAGAATATTGATTGGCTTCAATTGAACACTCACCTCCCATGCATATTGCATGAGTTACAATCACCTTGGGTGATAGAGTAACACTTGCCATAGGTAGCGAATTTTTTGTTGAAATGAAGTGTATATTTTGCTGTAAGTCTTTGGTTTTTATACAGCTCATTACATTACGTACAGGCATGAGTAATAGGTGGATTTATGAAAATGATCGCCTATTCAAACCAACCAATCACTTTACGAAGGAGAGGGCCAAGTGCTTGAACATGATGGTTTTCTTCAGATATTCATGCATATTATGACCCCAAATGACTTTCTTGATAGCATCAGCCCTCAAATGCAGTATAGGCTGCCCTATGATGGCTGATGCTTTTTTCCCAAATGCCACATCAGGTTCCTGTCACACTGTTCAGAATACAGACTAGAAGCCAAGGTTGATAATGTAAATAGCTGCACAGAATATCTGTCATCGGCAGAGAAGGTTGAAAAATTGCTGCGAAAACATTAATTAGGTACTGACAGCTAAGAATGAAATTGGAAAAAAGAAAGATGAAAGGCAAAATTGCCTCATCTTAGTGCTTAACAAACCCAGACACAGGGGTGGGGATATCAAAGACCAACCAGAGGCCTGTGCAGGCCATCTTCTAACTGAGTAGATCATTCATGCAGCAACAGATATAGTAACTTCAAGGGCTGCTGCCAAAGCAGGGGTGATTACACTTATTATCACAAGCACTGCATCTTGTACACTATCCTTGATCAGTGGCAAGAAATCAAAGGCAATACTGTACTTTGTATTTCCATTAAGATTTGCAGCTTACATCATTTGGGGAGTCTACATTATTTGCCGTGCACTGCACTTGTGATAAGATTTGTTAATAACCATGCACTTCAATCTCTAGAAATCAATGCACACTAAAAATAATTATTTAGCCTCTTAGTAAGGTTTCGTACAAAAAAATAGGTGAAAATCTGCATGTTGCTGGCCTCTGTTCTCCTGCCTGGGATGCTTCACGCACAGTAGTCAGCCTCTCCTTCAGCAGGAGATGGTTGTGTTTACCAGCAGGTTGCGTTTCACTTTCACGTTTCAAACCTTCTAATGAGATTTGCCTTTGATTTCTTCTGCCTAAGGGGAAGACGAAGAGAAGGATAACTTGGTGAAAATAAAAACAATGATGGTGTAGTGTCATTTTAAATAGTAGTCCTGATGAGTAATTTAAGACCTAACGAAAACTGATTCTAGGGCTCGCTAAGCTCAGTGATAACTCAAAGGCAAATTAAAATATCCTGTCAGGGTAGCTTGCATTTTAACAGAGTTGTAACTACATGATTTTAAAGTTCCAGAGCAACCCAGGCTGCATCAGCAGACAGTTAAATCAGCTGTAGTCTCTCTCTCTTAACAGAGTTTAATGGGCAGGGAGGAAAAAGCAGGCCAACTTGTCTAAAGAAATCTTTGGGAGGTGCAGAATTACAAGCCACAAATACAAAAGCTTATATATTAAAATTATAGAAAATCATGTTTGTGTTTACTGGTTGTAGTGCTTTGAAAGAATCTATCTACGTTGATTCCACATTAAAGAAAATTAAGCTATTTACAAAATGCTCATGTGTGCCTAATGGTCTTAGAAAGGAATTTTGCTTGCAGATTTGCCAAGGTAAAAATAGCACACATCCAGAGAGCCCCCTACTCCGAACAATTTAACTGTATAAAAGAGCAACAGGATGTGTTCATATTTTGTTAGAACCCTTCACAGTGGAACGATATTATTAAAGGATATGTTCACATATTTCAACTTTGCCTCAAAACAATGTTACAAAAATTGCAAATTGTTGCAAAAATAAATTGAAAGAGTAGCCTAATTGTCTTCTGAAGAGATCCCTTCCTTAGCAAGGGCATCAATTTGTGTTGAAAAGTGGTGGGAAGATTGAAGGGCTCAGATTAAGGGTGTGATGAAACACTTTGCCCACGAGATGTGACGCACAATGTTGGGGTCACGAGAACAAGACAAGATGATATTTTACAACTATTTAGAAGAAATCTTCATTTATGAAGGGGGGGTGGGGTCTGGTTTTCATTGTGCAAATAAACCTTTCTCATAGCATTTTCATTTATTATTTAACATTTCTGGTAGCTATTTTTCAGAACATTTTAAACAAATGCTTTCAAAAAGTGATGGGGACATGTCCCTAGTGTAAATGACACACTATCTTACGCAATTATTCACTTAACCAAAAACATTCTCACTTGATTTGACCATGTCAGACTTGATTTACTCCCTCATTTTAGCTTCGACTGAATGCATGTTTGCATAGAACAAGGACTAAGGAATTTGCCCCCCATTTCTTAGATTGTATTCACCTTAGGGAGAGACAGGCAGTATAGACAAGAGGAATGTATACAGTGACTAATAACTATTTCAAAGCACATATGAGTTATAAGCACTGTTGTACGATAGCTTTTTTTTAAACTAGTGCATACACACAAAACTGCACTGCATGGAGTGCTAGATGACCAACTAGGCTACAGATAGGCTATTTAATCAAGGGAAATGGAGACAATATGAGCAGGTGTGTATTACAGCCATATGAACAGTAGGCAAATGTGTCTGTCTGTGTGTGGCCAAGAAGTAGGCAAAGTGCCCATACAGTCTACGGGTGTGTCCATTAGTTTCTTAATCACGCGCAAAAACTCTTCTCAGTACTTTTCTGCTGCATTCAAGTCCATGGGAGCGACACAGAATATGTGTTGAGAGCAATTATAGAGACTAAGGTTTGTAATTATGGTTGTGTTTAGATACAAGTTAATAAGTTATATTTAATTTGTCAATACATAAATTCCTATCCTTCATACACATACAGCGTTTGGTCGATGACGTCCGTAGCTGGTAGTATGTAAATCTTTACCATCCTTTGATTGACTACCATAACCGACTAATCAGCGTGACCTCTGCAACATCCTTAGCCAATCACCGGAGGTTGAATATTCTATCATCCAATTACATTCAAGGGGGCAGAGTCTAATTTTGTTTTAGCCCCGCGGCAGATGACGGAGATGAATGAAGCGACTAGCTAGCAGTTAGCTAGCGACAACAACATCACCGCATTGAATTTCCACTAATATGCTGGAACAATAAAACACTGAATAATAAAGACGTTTGGGAGCTGTGTAGCGGACCCACCTACTTGGTTCCGTATGGTTGGCACATCAGCTAAGCAGGACAGCCTGTTGTTCCGGGAGGGCTTGCTAATAAACGTTAGCATGCATGTACAGGAGTCACTTGGGGTCTATGCAACATTGAAACGGTCTGAATCAACGGAACACTATATCAAGAAGGTAAATACTTTCAAAAAGCATCGTTTAAGCTCAGATCGGAATTGACTGTATAAGTCAATATGCTGTTTTATGCACATTAGTAAACGCTAACATAGCTAGCTAAATGTTTGCTTAGCTAGTAACACTTAGCACCTGGTGTATTATATTTAGTGACTAGTTTAACGTTAACATTAGTTGTTTTCCAAAACTAGTGGTAAAAAAGGAGACATTTGTCGTAGAACATTTATTTGAACTCTGAGCTTGTCAGGTTTGTAATGCTGCCTAAAATCTAGCTGAACGTTTACTATTATATTACAGCTACTGGCAGCCGTGCACTGTGTATCCCAGTTCTGATTTTCTTGTTAAAATAAAACAGAGAAAACTATAATGTTTAACCCCATTTTGTGTCACTCATACAGGTGAAGGCAACAGTGCTACCATGTTCCCGAGCCATACCAACCCCATGAAGCCCAGCTGCAACAGCAGCAGCATCACTGAGCTGCTGGGAGCCCTGTGTGACTCCAGCCTGTCTGGGGTGTCATGGAAGCGCCGTGCCCTCGGAGGAGTCTCAAGAGAAGGTTTCCACAGAGCTCTCAAGAAGCGAGCCTATGGCGCCCTGCTGTCCAAGCTATTTCAAGATGGCGCCAAAGGATCTGCCTCAGGCCCGAGTGCCACAGATAATACACCACCCAGAAACAAAGTCCTGATGATATGTTTTGACTTGCGTGTGGCAGGGTGCCGAGAGGAAGCAGAGAGGTTGGAAGAGCAGCTGGGGAGGCTGCCGGAGGGAGCATCCTCTGGGCTGAAGGAAGTAGACGCAGTCCTTGAGCTCTTGGTGCATCTAGCTGGTTCGGCACCTCCACCCCCTGCCTCTTTCAGCAGGGACTACATGAGACGAGAGAGGCCCGTGCTGCGGAGGCCTCAACCCTGGGGCTACCAGAGCGAGGAGCTGCAGAGGCTAGAGGCGCGGGCATGGGGTCTAGTGTGTGGGGAGGAGTGGGGGACTTTGGAGAGTTTGTGTGGAACTCAGAGGTTGATGGATACCCCTCCAGGCACAGGACTGCTTGCTCCGAGGAATAAATTGGAAGCAGAAGAAAGATTTGAGAGGGAAACCAGGCTGACGTTGTTTGGAGCACTGCAGCACACTCGCACCACAGACATAGACATAAGACTGGACCTGCCTCCTGTTCCCAGTAATATTGATGTAACTGGGCTGGCTATAAGGGTATGAGACTATGGCTTAGTTAAGTATTAAGCTAATGCATGTTGGTTCATTTGAGATGTTTTGTCATATGGCCAAGCCAGTCCATGTTCATTTTAACTTTAGCTACTTTGGTTTATATTAAGTGTTTTAGGTTTAAATCCCAGTGTTATGCAACTGTATCATCAGCCTTAATTGTTATTTGTGCAGGTCCCTTCCTGTTTAGATCAGTCTGAGGATGAGGGCTTCCAGTCAGCTTCCAACCTGACCCCAGACTCTCAGTCAGAGCCCAGCCCCATTCCAGACATTGACATATGGGAGGCTGTTCGCACGTTTGAGCCTCGAAGACGCCGCTGCTGGGAGTCTGTTGGCTGGTAAGTGACACGTCAGTTGCCTAAATGTAACCAATCAACACCTAGTTACAGAACAAAATAATTTAATTTTATTATTCTAATGATTTATTAATTGGTCTATTATTTTTGATTAACTGATTAATCATTTAGTCTGTGAAATGTCAGAAAATAGTGGAAAATACCCATCACAATTTCCAAGTGTTTAAGATGATGCTTTCAACTTAATTGTTTTGTAAGGGTGTAATGATTCTCCAAATCCACGGTTCGGATCACACCTCAATGTTTGAGCCATGGTTGGGCTTATACCTCAGGATTTTTTATTTTTTTTTGGGTGGTTGGAAAATCAGTAGTGGTAGTAGTCCTAGGTATATTAACAGCTGCCATAGTATATTGGGCAACCCATTTTTGGCATTTTGCAGAGAAACACGGAAAGAGATGTTATCTGGTGTTACATTACAAGACGCGGACATGGTAGAAATTTTACAAGCACAGAGCAACAGTGAACACATTAGTGCAAACGTCATTCAGTATTACTTTGGTTTTGATCCACATGCGGTGCACCTGCTGCTTTGAAAACAGAATTGCGGATGAGTCTATTAAAAGCAGCTACTTTATTAAACATACTGCCAATGGAGAAAGTCAACAGAACAGAGACACATACAGTGAGAGAGACAGAAAGAGGCAGGGCAAGCCGGTGTGTTTCCAGGGCGAGACTGGAGTGTAGGTGTGTGCATGTGGACATGTGGATGTTTGTGTCTCGGTCTCGGTTTCAGAACCGTTACTGCCTTGTTGTTTTGCCAGTCCAAAACGCAAAGGTATTTCATTAACAATGATGATAAAACGGAGAAAAGCACAGTTTTAAGAGCTGAAACCAGTGGATGTTCTGCATTTTTTTCTTGATAAATGACATATGATTAATATCTTAGTAAGTTGCTGGAGAGCGTGTTTCTGTGGATTGACTGGAAAATCTTTCTTTTTCAATCTTACAAAACTAAGGCACAAGAAGCAAAGCAATAGAATCAGTTTAGCAAGTGACAGAGTATAACCTACAAAGTCAACAATGTATTAGAGTTTAGTTTTCAGTTTTGCTTTCTCTCTCAAACACACTCTTGTACACAACACCAAATCTTTCCCTTCTAGCCCACCTGGAAAAAGGGAGTCGCTCTATCTAACCGAGGGAGGCAGGGAGGCTTTTGACCAACTCTATCGTCTATGGGAGGGGGAGATGAGGTTGGTCAGCAATAGTGCACTCTCTTCTCTCCTCCCGCTTCCCCTGGATTCTCAGACACAACTGGTGTCTGACCTTCTTAACGTCTTGATCGGAGTGGCGTCCACCACCTTCCCTCTCAACCAGGTGCATTTCATTATCTTTATTTATCTGTCTCTTAAATGTAATAAAATGCAATTGATCTGTTGTTTTAGGGGTCTGTCAGACTGAAGTGATAAAAGTGAATGAAGTGATAAAAGCACTGACGGCATACAATTACAAAAGAAACGGAAGAGAGTCAGAGCAGAATAATGGGCAATCTGTGTAATATAAAGATAAAGAGTATAACCTTAAATCTATGAAAAAACAAAAAGTGACAGTGCCGATCACATACTGAAGTTACATTAAATTATGAAATAAATACATACAAAAATTATTTTATATATAATATTCTTAATGCTGAAAACAAAACCACTAGAGAACTCCTCTGTTGCTGTATTGTTTCCTATTAAGTATGAATTAAATCCTTATTCTCTTGATTGCTCCCTTTGGGCCCTTAAGGTTTCTCTCCCCAAGGCAGTCATAAGTGTGGGGGATAGTAGGACTGATTACCCAGGGCCCAATGGGGGGAGGGCCCTCGAAAAGCCTAGAATGAAAAGTTTAATTGGTTGAGAGACTAAACTTTGTATTCCTCCCCAAAAATAAAATTAATTGCGGCGGCTCTGAGGCCCCTCTTACAAAAGATGCAAAATGTTTCTGCAAATGAAACATGACTAGGCAAGTCTTGTTCTGTTATCTTTTATTATGCAGTATAGTAAGCATTTTCCCTATAGGGGTTAGACAACTAAGATGGTATTTTTTAGCTTTGTCTTATACCTTAGGAATGATGAATGCTGAAATTAACATGAATAAAATAATGTTATCTTGAACTCCGAGCAAACCACATTTAGCCGTAGTAAATTGTAGGATACAGTATGTTGAGGAAAAAGAGGGTTGAAATTTGGTCAGATTGCAAACTGTGCAGTCTTAAACACACATGAGAGAGAGAGGGACCAAGTGAGGAAGGGTGCCCACAGACACTGCTTCTGTATAGGGCCCAGAATTTTGTGCGACGACACTGCTAGCAGATTAACATGTAGGCTGTTAGAAGGGGTGGGGACACACTATGATGAACACCGTTACAATCTAATATAATCTAGTACAGTAGTCCTGCATTAGATAATAACTTCTGTGAGGCTTATAACGTTAAAAGTTTTGTCCAGACCGTCAGAGAGATGTTTTTGTGAACTCAACGGTAGTCTTCGAGGCTGTGAGGGTTGTGGTAGTGTTATGCTGGATGGCAAAATATTGTCTGTTATTTTTGTCCCCCCTGAAGGGTCCTGTCTAGGTACTTTGAATCAAGTTCTCATAAAACAACCATGAGAAGGGCAATAGAACAAACACCTGATTATGTATTGCGGTCTAATATAATAACACCACAAACCTAATGCCTAGAGAAGTCACCATGGAGGTGACTCTACCTCAACAAAAATTCAATATTACAAGCTTTAGAAAGACTGTCTTTGCTGCAGGGCTGTTTTATTGGATGTTATTAGACTGCAGTTATTCATTGTATTCCCTCCACCATCTGTAAATATGTAATCTCTTCCCAGAGTGTTCACTTTGACGTCAGACCTGGTGTGTGCGTGTCAGGAGCCTCTCCAGAGAGTGTGTCTCGTCTCTTGGGGGAGCTGGCCGAGTACGGCACCTACTACTTGAGGCTTAGCCGCTTTTCTCTGCAGAGTGCTGACAAAAAAGGCCTAGTCTTTCAGGTATGTTTGTATAATGATCATCATCATCATTAATAGTGTTGAGACTGCACATTTTACCCGTCCCTTTTCCACTCCTGTTCTGCACAGGACAGTTGTTACCATTGTTGTGGTCGTCAATTCAAAATACTATATTTGACCCTCAATGGGCGATTAGTGACTTTGCAAACACAAATACACATAAAAACTGATGCTGGGCAACTATGAAAATTTTAATCGCATGATTTTCTTGCGATTAATTTCATTGTTATTTCATTGTTATGTGCAAAATTGAATAATGAATTCTAAAGTAGTGTATTGCGCACTTTTAATTTAAATGTACTGCTATATACACAAAAGTGCAATAACATTTAGTTTGCAAACACTTGAAACAAATAAGGTGCTTTTTACCAGCAGTATTCCCGTTACACAGTAGCAATAAAATATTTCTTGAAAATCTCAACTTAAACATTAATGTAATCAAATCAAATGTAATAACCAAAGCTATTTGCCAATGCCAGAGCATTACATTACATTTACATTTAGCTGACGCTTTTACCTTTTATCTAGCTTGTTAAAACAAGTTACCATCAGAGTCCCGTTTTCTTGTTGTTTTCTTAACAGGTGTCAGCAGAAACATTTTTCTTTTATCAGGGAGCAGCATAAACAGTCTATGTTCAGTAGCAAGTTTCCCTGTTAGAGAGAGGTGAGGTGGTCGAGCACAAGGTGTAGCGACAAGCGGGTGCGTTCTTGTGAAACTGTCGCGGTTGTGCTTGCCTCACGAACACACCCGTGCGTTGCCAAAGTTGAATTGTCTTGAACTTTTTGTCCACAACGCCCAGCACAAATCATTGGAAGAGAGACTGATCCTCGCTGTTTGTGAGTTTCCAGAATCTAAATAGTTATCAGGACATCAACAGGTGGGAATTCGCATGGCAGAGCATCCCCGCAAAACTAGATGTAAGTTATGTAGCCTATAATTTTAATTGAAGTTAAACAGGGTACAGCTGTGTAGTGCACAGAAGCAGTTGCCATGGTTACACTCAATATAGCGCCTGCTGTTTACTCGTGGAGCGCTGTATGCTGCATCCAGCGTAGTGTGCCAAAGCCTCCCTCCGCTGCTTGTTTGGGTGGGTGATTTGCAAGCTGATCAACATCCCACCACTCTTGTGACCCATGGTTTGACTGTATGTGTATTTAGAGCCAGCGAGCAACGGACTTTCAAAATAATAATAAATAAATAAAAAAAACTGCGTTAACGTGCGATAAAATAATTGACTGCGTTAATTAATTAATGTCTTAACGGGATAATAATTTGTTAACGTGTCCAGCCCTAATAAACACACACACAAATAATCTAAAAATACAAATATGATTGTGGAAGAAAATACTTCTAATACACAACGGTTAATGGCAGTAGAATATCTGTAGCTGACTCACAATATCTGACAATAACACCACAAAGGCATGTTGAGACCAAAGGGCACAATATGTCTAAAAGGGCAGTTAGTACAAGTGTATTTCTCAATGTATAAACAAGGTAAGGTGACATTATTGGTTTTGCATCAGCACAGATAATGAAAGTTAAACAAATGTGTGTTTCTCTCCAAGGCTTTCACAGGTGGTCTGCGGAAGTATCTGCATTACTACAGGGCTTGTGTTCTTAGCACTCCGCCCATCCTCAGCCTGTTGACTATTGGCTTCCTCTTCCGCAAAGTGGGCCGCCAACTAAGGTGAGGTCAAATCCAGTTTTTTGATGCTGGTGTCCAGTGTAAATTCAACACTTTTGAAACTCAACCTCACCGAGTCGACACAGTTGTGTCCCGACTGAGAGGACTTTGATGCAGATATCATCTCAGATCAAAAAAAAAAATCTCTACTTTCTTTTAATCTAAGGTACCTGTCAGAACTGTGCTGTGTAGATGGGCCTTTGGGTGCAGGCCAGGCTACCTTCCCTGTGGTAAGTGCTTTTTTATCTGCAAACTGCAATATGTCATTCATCACGGCTGTCTTTAGCCTATCAGATGGGGTGTCAGCTCACTGCCATGTGGCTCTCCTCAGGGTGTTAAACTACTGTCCTACCTGTACAATGAAGCACAGAATAACTGCAGCAACGAGAACTATCCAGTCCTGCTATCGCTGCTGAAGAGCAGCTGTGAGCCTTATACACGGTCAGTCAATAAGCTTCTCACACAAATGCCATTTTCTCTTTAAATTAAAATAATAGAAACCAAGTACATGACCTTACTTCATTGATATGCAGAGCTTGCTCTATTGATCTTTTTTGCATGGATTGTCTGGACTGTGTTTACTGTGCTTCACTTAGGTTTGTGTCTGACTGGGTGTATAACGGCGTGTTTCGAGATGTTTACGGAGAATTCATGATCCAGGTCAATGAGGACTATCTCAGCTTCAGAGGTGAGACGACACACAAACGCCGTCGCATAAACACTTTGGTTTCTGTCAGCAGGTTCTGAAAATGAAAAGCCTGCCAGACAGATTGTCTAGAAGAAAAAAATAGATTTCATTACAGCCTTTATTGCCTAGTCGGATTTGTCCTTGTTTCTATAAAGGATGTCATGAAGTTATTGGATGATAATCAGTGGGAAACAGCATCAGCTACCACAGCTGTGGAGACCAGAGCCATCTCCGCTCAGTAAGCCACAGGGACAAACACAAATAGATAAGGTTCCTTTATTCTTTTCAGTTGTACACCATGCTGGCTAGAACAAAACATTCTCTGAAATAAATTATATTTTTCTTACATATCTGCTCTGTAATTGTAATTGCCCTTGACAAATCTGGACTAGCTGAATATATTTTTAGTCTAATTAATGAGTTGGCTCTTTAAGCAGCGCAGAGTAGAGTTGAGAGATGATGCTTGCAGGGCAGATAAATAATAGATTTTAATATTCAATGTTTGATATAGAGACACAATCATGTGTTACAGCTCAAGTCAAAATGTTATTGTGAGGGTTAAAATGAGGGCTGCGACTAACAGTTGTTTTTGATATCAATAAATGTTTGGATAGAGGTAACAAAATCCATAAGTCGAATAGTCCATAAAATGTATTAGAAACTATTTTGATAATTGATCATTGATATCATTAAGGTAAAAATAAGTAGAAATGCTCAACTTTTCCTGGCATCAGCTTTTCAAATGTAAGGGATTTGATGCTTTCCTTTGTCATATCTGATAGCACACTGAGCATCTTGGGCAGACACAACAAGACATTTGAGCTCTGGCAAAATAACTGGGCATTTTTCTATATCTTCTGTCATTTTATAGACAAAAAGAGAAACTTATCTGCAGATGAATCAATAATGAAAATAATCGTTAGTTGTAGCCTTGGATGAGGGAATTGTTTATTCGAATAATCGTAGTCAAAACCTATCCCCAAATGCGTACACACTGTAACTGCTTCATGTTGACAGTACTCCATAAATATGGTTTTATATATCATTGCTGCCAGTCCAAATATTGTATGTCATGCAACACCCTATTCAAGGTCAGACTATCACCTCTGCTTTGTCTGGCTTAGAGGTTCATTTGCTCATCAGTTACACCTCATCAACTCCTGCTGTGAACCTCTGCACTTCTCGCTCCTGCTTTTTGGAGGACACACAAATGTCATTGTTCTCCTCGAAGTCCATCGGCCAGGGAAGCAATCAGCAGCTAAGCTTTCTTGGCAAGCCTCAGGCTTTCTGTAAAGAGCTCCGGAAGCTCAGGGCATTCATGTTCTCTTATGCTTTTTGCTTAGGATCACTGAGCTAAGCACTAACAATTTCCAAGTGTTAATTCAAGCGGCCAGAGTTTTGTCATGCCCCGTAAGTCATACTAATAAGGAAAAGTTTTGAGTGAAGTGCAGGCCTTGGAGTATTATTCCACGACTATTGCTTTTTGTACTTCAGTTTGTGAGTGTTGTACTGTTGTCCGAGGCATAATGGACCACTCAAACTACTTGGTCCAAATTGTAGAACAGAGTGTAATAGGTGTCTTTGAATTTCTGCAGACAAACACTTCTGGCTCCAAGGCTACACTCTGATCTCAAAGGATGTGGAGGATTGTGTGCCCACCTTCCTGAGACACATCGGCAATGACGTCTACGTCTGTGGAAAGACCATCAACCTCCTCAAGATCTGCTGCCCACAGGTTTGTTTTGCACATTTAAAACATTCATATATGCAGACGGAAGATTTTATGCAGCTGAATGTTGTGTGAAGATACCGATACATTTAACTAAATTCTATTCTTAATTTATTCAGTACAAAGAGAATTTTTGTCTGTTGTTTGCAGTGAATAAATTAGGCATATAAAATGTTTATCCTTAAGATTATCCTGCCATCTTTGATCTGTTTTTCATGCTGTTAACAGCCGTTCAGTGTACTGTGTTGGCTTAGTGACGCACAGATCAGCACACAATCCACATATACTCCTCAATTATCTCCCTGCCACAACAGTGATTCTACCCATTTGGAAATCCATACTGCCCAAAGGGGATCGGACAAATAATCAATACTGCGACATATGGGCATACAGGCTATTACAAAATGTCATCAATACACATGCTTCAGTTCTGTGATAAATTCTCTATTTGTACTGAGCCAGAGGTGTTTTCCTCGTGCATTGCAGACATTTGAACTTTGAACTTCCCTGCTCTCTGTCTCTACAGACTTGCCAATAATATTGCCAAATATTGACATTTTAGATATAAATTTTTCTCTATTGTGACAGTGCCATTGTGAAGTATATAGGGGTGAAATGATTAGTCGATTAATCAATTAACTATCTGTTTGGATAATCGTTTAAGTCATTTAAGCTGCATAATGTTATCAATGTAAACTGAATATTCTGGGGGTTTTAACTGTTGGTCAAATAACAAGACATTTGAAGATGGCAGGAGAAGAAGTTTGATAAGCATTTTCCATTTTTTTCTGATATTGTATCGAAATTTTTTTTTAATTGATCAAGAACAAAATTCTCATTGTTATTGGCATTCTTAAATTAGGGCTGCAAATAATGATATTTTCATAAAACATCAGAAAATAGTACAAAAAATGTCCATCATAATTTAATTTTGACTTCTCTAAATTGCTTTTTGTTTTGCTGAACAACTGTCCAAAACTGAAACATACTCAGTTTACTATACTGTAAGACAAGGAAAAGCAGTAATGGCTCTGGAGGTAATGCCACAGCCGCCCACTGTGACTGTCCACATGACGAAGTGTTGTTGAGCCTGGCATGCCAGCGCATTACATGTGAGTGTGTGTGTGAATGAGTGAATAAGATGCAAATTGCTTTGTCCGTAAAGGTAGAAAAGTGCTATCTGAGCCATTTATACGATATACTGTATTTCAGAACTGCCTGTATGGTAATGCCATGGGTATTGTGCACTAACTATTGTCAGTGTGATTCCAAGCACTACTGGCTGCAAAGCACCTGTATAAAACCCTAGGAGTTGTCTTTGTATAGGTATAGACCCCTCACTTGGCATGACGACAGTTAGTGTCAGACAAATAGAAAGTCTCAGTTTTTATGTAATCTAATTGTATTTCATTTCCTCACTTCTCTGTGACTCGCCTGCTGATTCACCAGCACATAATGTTTTTTTATGACTCGACCTACCTGACCTAAACTCCAGGGCCCATGCTTCTGACTAATTGGCATTCTGTAACTATAGTGTTTCTCTGTATGCTAATTTCCATTTGTGTTGGGGTTTATTATTCCTGTACGTACTACAAGATGGCTATGAACGCATGTGAAATTGTAGATTGAAAAACATGCAGAGGTGAGAGGGCTATCCAGTTGGTTTGATCAAGGTAGTTTATTTATCATTAAATACAAGGTTGTACAACGAAATGAAAGTTTGTAGTCCCTTCATGCTATGCACATAAAACATAACAGATCATTACATTTATATTAGGATAGGGTAACATAAAAATAAAACAATATAGACCTATACAGTTATCTATATACATACACATATAACATCCAAGAACTAATTCTACAGTACATTTTAATTAAAGTAACAAGATAGTGATGATAATATGGTTTTCATCTTCACATAAAAAGCCTGACATTTGGAAAACGGTGTCCATCAACTTTGACTGCGTTTGAGCACAAAGCATCGTTGATGTAAACACATGTCTGCCTCCTCTCATCTTGCCCTCTGTCTGCTCAGAACATGGTCCGCCCGTCAAGTGCTTGATGTTGATGGGGGAGGTCTCTGTGAATATGGGGCACAGTAACACAAGTTTTTGATTATGCCTGAGCAGTCAATTTCAGACTGGACATTAGCCAGGAGCAGCCTCAAGTGTAAGCTGGGCCAGCCTGGCTACTATCCCAGCTTTCTTTCTTCTCGTCCTGGGGCGATCCCAGCACCCGCCATGGTGCCTGTTTCAGTTGAGATGAAGGATTTTTTACAAAAAATGCACATCTCGCCTTGTAGAGTGTGTACATCGAGCCCTTTGCTGCATGTCATCACCTCTCTCTTTCCCCTGCGTTTCATGTCCCTCTACAGCAATCACCATCATAATAAAGCAGAAGTGCCCCCCCCAAATCTTAAAAAATAAAAAGACTAAATAACATACATTGTGGCTGCTGTTTTGAATGAAACACCTTATGCACTTCTGCAGCGGTGGCAAATAAGTCTGGCATTGGACCAAATTTTTTTCAAGTCATTAAATGGCCGGCCAGAACATAGTCAATTTATAATTTATAGTCTGTCATTTACTGCGTGCCTATTTAGCTCAGTCAGTAGTGCACAGGACCTGCTGCAACCATTATTTCTCTCCCTTTTCAACATATTGATTATAAAGAGATCATTTTACATATTCACATTTAAGCATGTTTAGGATAGTGTGCCTCATGGCGATTGGTCCACATCAACCTATGGATGCTTATTTTCATTTCCCCAGTATCTCAAGGCAGATGAAATTCCTGCATTTCTCAGTCAGTTGAATCCGATCTCACGTTTTCTAACAGCTTTTTAAGAGGTGTGTCATGCAAGCCAGAGACTCTTTTGAATTTCCTTCAGAAGTTTTCAAAGTAAAAGCTTCCAATTAAACACTATTAAAGTACTGCTGCAAAGATGTTCTCACGCTTTTATTTTGTAGGCACAATCACTTAAGAGGAAGTGATTATGTGAGTAACTTTTGCTGTCATGACTGAGATCTGTTTCAGCACCAGCCGCCATAGCTAAATGTTTTTTTGTTTGTTTGTTTTTTGCTGCTATGAAAGTAATCTGGCCACGGGCCAGATATTATTACTGGCAGGCCAGCTTTGGCCCACGGGCCGCTTGTTGCCGACCACTGCACTACTGGTTTACTGTGCGGAAATTTTGGGGTCTGTGATATGAAAACACATGATGTCATCAAAATAAGACATTAGGGGCACATACTACAAACAGGATTTAAAGTTTGCGAGTTAACTGGGACTGCTGAACTTGCTTCATAGTATAGGCCCCAGAATTAACACTTAATAACAATGAACCTTCTTTATAGTCAATATAGTACTAACTTTTCACTTGTGTCCGCAGCACTACATCTGCTGGTCGGAGCTGCCAGTGCCTCGCATTGCTGTCACCTTCTCCATCCAGGAGGTAGAGGAGATTGAGAGGGACTGTGCTGTGTACCGTGGACGAATGGAGAGGATTGCTAAGCACAGCGCCATCAGCAGGGAGGAGCAAGTACTGAGACACAAGCATATTGTTCCCATGCAATAGCATCTTACCTGTGATGTATTTTAAAGTCTGAGCTTTTGTTAATATTGCTCCTTCTCAGTTATATCTGACAAGAGTGTTTCATGTGGAACAAATCTTAGTAGACATGGCAGTCAACATGGTGTATTACCTTTTAATAAAGACACCATTATGTCTCCGCTAGCTGACTTAAATTGAGTTTTAAACTTTACGGAGGGAAGGCAAACCTGCAGTCATTACACAGGTATTGTTCCTTAAGACGGAGAGAGGTGTTTTTTTTCTTTTTTACATAACATGATCCATGATGGTGACACCGCCCCTCAAGTACTGAGAATTTCAGCAGCGAGTCATTAAAATGATGCAGCTGAAGTCTGGGGCTTGCATGCTGCTTGATTTAGTGTAACAATCTGGTTTGTATGGCCTATATTGTGTGTGTGTGTGTGTGTGTGTGTGTGTGTGTGTGTGTGTGTGTGTGCGCGCGCGCTGCTGACTGGCAGAAGTGGGGGAGAAGAGGTGAGCTACAGGGCAGGCAGATAGATCTTTGTTAATGATGATTTTCTTGTCCATCTATTGTAAGGCCCAGCGAGCAGAGCAGGCACGCCAGGAGCTGATTGATCAGGTCAGAGAGTCAGCAGCCAAAACCCTGGAGAGCATCCGCGGTTAGTGTTACACTTACACACGCAATCACACACTGCGAGTATAATTTTATATAGTGCTTGATGTATATGCTCTCCCCATCTGGCTAAGTATACTTTTAACAAAAGGCTCAGCTCTGAGTATAACCCAAACTATCTTGTTGACTTTTGACTACGAGAGTTTCTTTCAACTCTGTTCATTCCTCCCAGGAGAGCAGCAGAGATGCACAAGGTCAGGAGTAGTGAGGAAAGCTGTGTACGGCTTCCAATTTTATGTGCTGTGATATCTAATCATTGCTTGTTTAGTAAACTCCTCACGTCATTTATTACTCCAAAAGATGTGTGGCAAAGTTTGGGAGAGATTGTTCTAGTCTGGTGCTCTTTGCGTGTCTTGGCAAAGACATATTTGTGTTTGTGTGTATGAGACAGATGGTAATGTTGTTCTGTGTGTGTGTGTGCATGCGATAGAAACAGAGATGTTATGTACTTTTCTATGTTGGGGGTTAAGCAGCCCACTGTTATCTCTCTCAACTCCTGTAGGGCGGCAGGTGTCACAACGTCTGGCTGAGGAGGCCATAAAGAGGGAGCGTTTTGAGGAGCTGAAACAGCACCTGGAACAGGAGCAAGAGGTAGGTTCTCTTTTTCCCCACATGCAAACACACTAGCTTGCCCCACCTGTCTGTTTATTTGGCGACCCTTTATATACCTGGGTGTCCTGCCCAAATAAATGTGGGAAACACTGATTTATGTATATATTGACGAGAAATGTGTGAGAAAGTAAAATGGTGAGTATGTGTTCTTAAGTGTGGAAGTAAAGATTGTCTGTTTAGGAGCGCAACCAAAGCAGTCTCTTATAGCTTGATAGTAATGTTAAACTTGCAATGACTAATTATTTTTGGCCACTTTGAGGCAGTAGAAACAAGTGGTGAGCACAAAATGACATTTTCTTTTTCTTATTTACTTATTACATGTACATGATATTAAAGGTAAAATAGATTTTTGTCTTAAAACCTGCCTGCAGGACACTATGGGCACTTTTCCAAAATGGAGCCACATAGGGACAATAACAGATTGCATGCAGTGTGAAAGTGGTTAGCCTCTGCACAGTTTGATTAGAGTAGTTAGTCTTTTGGGCTGGAGACTATTACAGACGAACTGAGTCACATTCTTCCGGCTAAATTCTCTCCAGGAGGGAAAGTTTCTCATTAACCATTGCTGTCTGCGGATCCTGTCCTATTATTACAGTGTTATTGTAATTACCCTATACTTACCATCTTGCTTTAATATTCAGAGTGTGTGGTGTTTTTTTTTTTTTTTAAAGCAAAATATAATCTAGATATTACTTTTTGGTAAGTAGTGTCTGTAAGCGGCTTTTTGAAAAATATCATGGATTTCTTCTCCCATTGTGGTGTCATCATTTGGAAATTTATTGCCAAAAAAAATCTGATTTGTAAATCAAACCTATTGATCCTGATTCTGCAGATTTAAGTTGTCCTTAAGCTTCTCTACCTCGAGTAAATTTTACTGGGCATGAAGTACGGGTCATAGGCAAACCATTTCAAGATTTCAGTCCTGCCATCCACTTTTAATTAGTAATTAATTAAATTGTTTAATTCTGTATCTTTAGGGAGCTAGTTATCCAAGGGTTATTGGGGTCTGAAAGATGACTAGTTAATGAGGGGTCTCCAACCGTGTAAACTGATAGAGCCTTCCCAATGAGCTGATGATCTGTTTTCATCTTGATCTGTAGTTGAGTTTAGTGGCCGAATTTGAAATGGTTTATAATAATCCCTCAGACATTGAAGGGCTAATCTACCTTCTTTTTTTAGTTTTACAAAATTACCTTTTTAAAGTGGAACAGTTGCTTATTACCCATCTAGCAAACACAGAGGTACATCATTCATTTGGAGTCATGTTATCCCTACCAATTTCAATTCCTGGGGAAATTTTCTGGATCTTTAGCTGCTAAATGCTCCACTATGTTCACCAGCTTGTTGTTAACTGGGTCCGTCTGCTGTGTGTTGCTGAGCAGGTAGTACAGTGGGGTTTTAGAGCTGCTGCAGCTGAAAATGATGCTACGAGAGAGGTGACAGTGAACCAAAACAGTAGCTAAACAATACAACGAAGGTAGAGTTCAAAGGGCAACTGTTGCCCTTGAATGAGAACCTTCACAGACTAAACAATGAGCTGAAATTGTGTATAAAACACAGGGGAGCGGTAGATTTTGGTGATAATTCTCTGTAAGTTCATCTCTAAGAGAGACCCCTTTCACATTGTCGTATTGTTTCCACTTTGTTATTCATCATTGTTATGATAAAAAAATCTTGATTGTAGACACAAAATGTCAACACATCTGTTAGATCAGAAATGTATGATGGGGAAAAAATGACAACAAAATTAACAGATATTTGGATTCATACAGCTTTTGATGCCTATTTTAGAAGCTGAAAGCAATGATAAATGTGTGTGTATTTGTGTGTGTTTGGCACCAGTGGCGAAGTGCAGCCAAGAAAAAGCAGGAGGAGGATGACTTCAGCTTTGCCAGAGAGCTGAGGGACAGAGAGAAGAGACTACAAGCCCTGGAGGAGCAACTGGAGCAGAGAGCCAGGTCTGACTGTTTTTACAGCTGCTGCTAGAGATGTTAACATTTTGTTGATGATTTATTAATCTCTGTTAAGATTTTATTTGATCTAGAATATATGAACTGACCATGTGCAAACATGATGGGACACGAGTTCCATCTGTGTGGGATATTTAAGCGGACTTTCCTTGCAGTTGGGATTACAGCGTGAGCAAATGTGAGATCAGATCCTGTAATACAAGCACGGCACAAATAGATTTCCATCAGATGGCTAAAAGTTGTTGGTTAGCTTGATGGGTTCTTGAGGTCAGAGCTTACCAAAACTGAAGTAAGTGCCCGTCCCCTACAGCCTTTCCCCATAACCAATTTATTTTGGCTCCCTTTATCATTCCTGCCTTGCAGTATTTTTTGTTGTAAGGTTTCTAGGTTTAAATACCTTATCATTTGGGATGTGCTGTGAAATTATTTAGTATCCATTGAGGAAAAACATGGAATTCATATTTTGCAGGACTGATTAATTGTTTATAAATCATCAAAGTGGCACTCAGTTCAAACTAGGGTAGGTAACACTGGAGAAACTAGCAAGAGACAGCTAGATTGTGTATCCAACTGGGAAAAAAATCCCACCCCTTCCTTTCAAGTCCCTTCAAAGCCACTCCCTCAAAACACATTTTCATGCACATGAGTGCACAGGCAGAGTCCGCGCAGGTAGGTAGACAGACAGACAGGCCGGTAGGCCAGCCAATCATTTCCTTTGGACAAATGATTATTACAGTCCTGCAACAGATACTGGATTGTTTTCATTTTTGGTATCGGAGCATTTGATTTATTGATTGCTGTTGGGTTGTAAAAAGAATTTCCATAAATATTAACAAAAATGCTTCTGAAATAAATTGCCTTCCCTAGCTTTAAGGAAAAAAGCCATGTGTCTCGTCATTAGAGCTGCAACGATTCATCGACTAATTGATCAACAGAAAATGATCCAGTCACTATGATAATTGATAAATAATTTATGATTTTGAGAAATTTCCTAACGAAAAAGGACAAAACAAGACATTTGAAGACATACTCTTGACTCTGTTTGTTTATTTATTTTGTTTACGCAATGATTTATTGATCAATAAAATAATCTGCCAATTAATCGATGAAAATAATTGTTAGTTGCAGCTCCACATGACATAAACCATTTCCTAGACTGCAGGTTGCTCTGGATAAAACACTCCAAGCCAAATAATTTACTTGTACCTTGTGTGTTACTACACTCAAATTGTAGGAAGGAGCTGATTGCTCAGTACAGCCGTCTTTCAGAGGAAGCAGCTCGAAGAGAGAGGCGGGCCATGTGGCGAGTGCAGAGAATGAGACTTGATGAAGCCCGTGCTCAGTTCTTCATGCATGACAGCCATCAGATTCAGGTTTGTAATAAATTAAGAAGGAAAAAGAGTTTATTATTTAAGGTAAGGAAAGTAATTTTAACCAATGCTCTCATGGCTTCTTTCCAGACAATGTTAGAAAAATATCCCTTAGGCCAGGCGAGACCTCCCAGTGAAGTATTGCCATCTGTTCCCTCAGCACAGCAGACTGCAACACAACCAACACTGGTATGACAACACACCATTTTTTGACATGAATCCCCTCGTCTTTCCACTTAATTATGCTCTTTGAAAGTGTGTGCTGTAGACGTCCTTTTTAGTATCTTCTCTCTACAGGAATTACCCACTCAGGATCTGTGTGAACAGCAGCCAGCGAAGACTCAAGAAGCTGATGCTGTTTCACCACCACCTTACCCATTGTCTGATTCCACCCTCACCCCCTTTACAGTAGACCCCGTCCTCATTTCTGAGGACATTGACATCAGTGATTTTTTCCCTAAGTCACCAAATCCTGACAGTCAGCAGGTGGACATGGCCCTGCAGGAGATTGGCTCTGACCTACCTGAAGTGTGTCCTACAGCACAACTAGTAGACTATGACTTCAGTGCCCCATTTAGTCCACTTGAGGGTATCACTGGCCAAGCCTCAGCCCAGCCCAGGCCTCGCTGGGGACCTGCAGTCCAGCCTGACTTGATCCAAAACCACCCCTCTTTTTCTCACATTCCCATAGGAGGGAACATGTCTCAAGTCCAGGAGACTCTCCCCAAAGCCAGCCTCTTTAGCCAAGCCTCCAAATCTAGCCTTCTTCTAGGCCAGCACACCCTAGAGGAGCCCCAAAATACATCTAAAGCAAGCATTTATGGACATCCCTCTCATGCCTCAGTGCAACTAGTAGATGGGAGTGGCTTAGTGACATACAACAAGCAGATGGAAGTTGCATCTATTATAGAACAGACGACTGAAATAAGGAATTTGGAAAGTAAAGTCAAGGCAAATGAGGATAATGGGAAATCTGTTGAGGCTTCAAAAGAAGATGATGTGGTTGATACTGTCCCTTCCCTACACAAAGCAGTAACAAGTCTTTCTGACTGTGGTGGGATTGAATCACCTGATGCAAGCACTAAAGACCACAGCTCAGATGCTCAAGAGAAAGCTGCTGAAATTATGTCTTTGCCAAACATTCATGTCTCCAGTGCACACCTAAAAGCTGGTAAGCTGGTTTCAGATAATGTTGCCCTGCAGCCTTCAGCTAGAATCCATGGACATTCCTCTGATTCTCTCATAAAGATTGGAGTGTTTGCATCAGAAGTAACTACTCTTCCATCTCCTAACGTCCACGGCCATGCCTCGGATTCACACATGAAGATTGGAGAACATGTTTCGGAAGTTGATGCTCCTCTACGTTCCTCCAGTGTTCATGGTCACTCTTCTGATGCTCACATTAAAGTTGGGGAAAACATTTCAGACTTTGTTGCGCCTCTTCCTACTCCAAATATCCACGGTCATGTCTCAGATGCCCACATCAAAGTCGGTGAACATGTTTCAGATGTAGTTGCCCAACTGCCCTCCCTCAGCGTTTATGGTCACAGTTCAGATGCCCACATTAAAGTTGGAGAAAATGTTTCGGATGTTGTTGCACTACTTCCCGCTCCCAGCATCCATGGGCACTCTTCTGATGCTAATATAGAAGTTGGTGGGTTTATGTCTAACATACCTGAAGCAAGACTTCGTTTGAGTAAACATGGACATGCCTCAGACTGTACCCTTCAATCAGGCTGTGCAGTATCTGGAACTGAACCCGCCTTGTCTGCTTTACCTGGAAGCTCTTACGGTCACTCCTCAGACTCAGCGTTGGGTACAGGATGTTTAGTTTCAGGAAGTGAACCCAAACGTTCTCCTCTACCTGGCAGTGCCCATGGTCATTCTTCAGACTCCAATTTAGGCATCGGATGTGTTGTGTCCAAAACTGAACCACTTCAGTCACCACTACCCGGCAGCGCCTACGGCCACTCCTCTGATTCAGCGCTGGGGGTGGGTTGCGTGGTGTTGGGGGCTGAGCCACAACCCTCTGGACTACCAGGCAGCACTTACGGCCACTCATCAGATTCTTCACTTGCAGTTGGGTGCGTGGTAAAGGGCAACAATAGTGGACATCAGCAGAAGACAGAGGACAATGAAGATGGTAAAGATAATGAATAATATTAAATGATACACATTCTGCCACAAAGTGCCACTTTGTGAGAATAGTATAACATGTTATGCTTGTTAAATGCCTCAAGACACAGAATAACTAAAAACATAGAGATTGTCTTGTCAACTAATAGAACTAAAGAATAATAATTATTAAGTAAATTGATGGGAATAAAGAGTGTTTTTACTCTTAAATACATAGTTCTTCATGAATACATTTTTCAGTTGGTTTAATCTAAACTAAATTAATTCTTCTTCTCCACTGAGCAATATTTTGAGGTTGTGGCTTTGACCAAGAGACTGTGATCTTTTTTTCCCTCTTTAACTGATAGCTTAGAATATTATTTAGTATGTTCTCAGGTAGGATGCAAAGATGGAAAGGTAGGGCCCAAAATATAAAAGTCACCTACCAAGCCACAGCTCCTCCAACATAAGTCAGGGGACTCATTATATTTTGACTTGAAATGAGTTTTAAAATGCTTGATTCCAATTCCTAGCTTCCAGATCCTCTCCATCTTGGCCTACTTGTGAGTCTATTTCGTTTTCAAATGTTTCTTCCAAAATTTCATCTAAAATTATAATATTCATATCAAATGTTGTTGGTGGCTTCGTGCCTTAGGGCTTCAGAATAATAACCTGTCTTCACTCTGGTATTTTTTTCATACAAAGCTTAGTGCGGTATTTCCATGTACAGTAATAACCTATATGTTTACAGACTTGGATAGATAAATATGGTATTTTTTTTGCTCTGACCCATTGATGTTAAGAATTGTGCCTAACAAATACATCAATGCTAAAGTAACTGTTTTAAATCTCGCTTCAGGTTATAGGTTTGACCACCCTGGTGAACAGCTGGTCGAGAGCATGGCATCCTGGGCAGAGGGGTTTGGATTGTCCCCTGGAGAAAAGTCTGAGCAGGAATACCTCCTGGCTTTGTGTGCTCAGTACCAGGTGGAATACTACGAAGACTGCTACAACCTAATGGGTTAGTTGAAATCATGTGACTATGCCAAAGGAACCATAAATCTTTCTGTCATAGTTACTGTGGACAATGTGATGTTCAAGATAAGAGTATTTGTGTACTTGTGTACATTTATTCATTTTGCTGATGCTTTTTTTAAATTCAAAACGACTTAAAATTACTAAGTACTGTATGTCAGAGGTTGCATGCCTCTGGAGAAACTAGGGGTTAAGTGTATTGAACCCATGTCTCTCACACCAAAGGCATGTGTCTTATCCACTGCTCCATCACTACCCCATTCATACTATTATTTATTATACATTCTCAGGAGAATTCAATGCCATGGTATCACATGGTGTAATTTTATGGCTGGAGTCTGTCATTTCATTGAATTGTACTGCGTTATACTTACAGGTGTTCCTAATATTTTGTCCACCCTGTTTATATTAATGAGGGTAAGCAAAATTTTAGAAGCACCTCTTTATATATAACAACACAAGTCACTAGCACTACAAACTACATTTAAAAAGGACACAGGACATTATAACCTTCATGTTTGTTGTATTAGGCTGAATTAGTTTTAGTTAGCTGTACTTAATAAACTGGCAACTGAGTGTAGCGTAGTTCTCAGTTGACAAACAACAAACTAGTACAATGTTGTGTTCAGTAGTATCACAAACTAAACTGAGATCTGTGCATGTTTTGTACAAGGTTGCTGGTAACCCATGATAATGCCATCTCATTAACAGAAGCTTAACTTTATTTAAAACTTTATATTAACAATTCACATGGGCTACAGCCAAAGTAAAGTAGGTACTATATTCCAATCATAAATCAAATGAATATACCATAAATTGAATAAAATACAAAAATGTAAGTAAAGTAGACTTTAGCGTGAATTTGTTAATTGAAAAATATGAGCATAATTTATACATGGTCAAAGGTGAGTTGTACAGTGTGTGCTGCCTGTTTATTCTCCAAATTCACCAATTAAGTCTCTGAAATGACTTTTATGAGAAATCTTTTGAAATGCAGCAAAACATCATGTCAAACTGCAGAGAAATGAAAACGATACACCTTACAGCAGTGGATTATACTTCATGTAAATTAAAACATGCTCGAGTGATGTATTTCCAAAGGCTGTTAAATATTTACTCCATCAGCGGGCACAGAGGTTGTATAAAAAGCAGTGATATTTCATAAGGGTATTAAGTCGGGTTTATGTTTGGGTGGGATGCATCATGGCTTGTTAAAATAGTATCCTGTCTTTTTCACTCTGCGAGTGTAGTTCAATCATGCTGCTATTATTCATGCCAGCTTTCAGGATCTCCATGGAATCGATCAGAATGTGCTCAGCCGAATACATTTTCCACACTACTGATCAAAGTCAGGAGCCCTAATTATTCAGGCAGTATTACTATAAAATATAGAGTGGACAAAATAACTGGAACAACGTGCAATATAGTGCTGTTTAATGAAACCGCGCTGCAGGAAATACTATAAACTTTAAAACTGTGTGTTGAGATTGTGTCAGAGGTTTTGATTCCTCTCTAACGTAATTTTAAGAATTATTTTCATTATCAATTATTCACTTAATCATTTGGTTCATAACATTTTTTACCAAGTTCACATATTCAAGTGAATATCTAACATTTGAGAAATTGGAACAGAGACTTTGTAGCATTATTACTGCTATTACTTTCTGACAGATCAACACTTTCAGCTCTACTCAGTTAAATAATTTAATACAATTTTTACCATCTGTACTTGCAAAAATATTACTTGGATGATTTTTTTTATTCTGTTTCTTTTTCATTCGACTCTAGATCCCATTTTTTCTTTGCGCTATTTAAAACAACACTGTTTTCTGCAGTTGTGAGAGTGATGTTTATTCAGCAAACATGCCTGTCATCTCCTTCTCACACAGCTTCGTCCCCCGAGTGTCAGCTGCTGAAGCAGGTAACTCGGGGACCCTGGGGCCTTCCTATGGACCCCACACTCCGCAGAGCCACTGACACCACTGCTGTCCAACTCAGCGAGATGGTTTCCCTGCCAGTTCTGATAAAACACTCTGTCACTACCCCGCTCATCACACAGTGAGTGACTTAAAGAAAGCTGCAGGGTCTGTTTTGTGTTAGGGAGGGAATAAGAACATCACATTTGTAAGCATATTACGTGTTTTTGTTTACAAGTATGAGTTCTGAATGTCTGAGAAAGACATATTATTTTACCTATGAAGCCAAATACTACGTTTAAGAGAAATGCAGGTGTAAGGTTTTCACTGATCACCTGTCATTTTTTTGCTACTTCAGGCCACTTAAACTGTAGTTGAATGCACATTCTGCACTGGAGGAATAATTTAAATTCTTACTACCAGCCATCTTCGTAGGATCCTTTTTCTGGTTGAAATTCCATCAGAACTCCAGACAAGCTTGTCAGTTTTCACTTACAATGTTTCTGCACACCATGCAGTTTAGCCTTTGTGTGTAAAGAAATGGCTTTCTCCTGCCTTCCTGCACACAGAGGGGGTGCAGTATATTTAGCGTTGGATTTCATCGCTCTAAATTTTTATTAACACGTTTTCATCCCATGCTTAGACGATGCAGCAGAGGTTGCCAGAGATTTTCAACTCTATTTTTATCTCTTCCCTGCTGACTTTTCAGTTAAAGGGAACCTTCCCTAAACCCCACTGTTATATAAATGTGAATTGCTCAGGAATAATTTAAAGTAATGGGACAGAGGAAGTCGTCCAAAAAAGTGAAAAGCACCGGGATATTCCCTGAGCTTTCTGCTGGGCTGATGTCTGTCATCCTCACAACCTGTATCAAATTTGCAAGTCAGCATAATTTTCAATCCTGAGTCTTGTGTCAGAACATTTCTCTCCTCATCATGGTCATTCTCTCCTCCACCTTCCATCCCCAGTGTATCTTTGGTGAACAAGGCAGTGGTGGACTACTTCTTTGTGGAGTTGGGGGTGGAAAGACACTTTGAGGCGTTGCGCCACTTCCTGCTGATGGAGGATGGCGAGTTCGCACAGTCCCTCAGCGACCTGCTCTTTGAAAAGGTGAAGCTCTTTCACAAGTGTCGCTGTCATCTCTGTGCACATTTAAAATATGGAGATATATGGTGTATATTGTGTCCTAGGAGAGGACAAGAAAGGATATCTTGGAATAATATCAAAGGTCCTGGTCTCAATTTGAATGCAATATAATTTTTAACAAACTTCTTCTGGTTTTTGATTGTTTTTTTTGACTCAGCACTGCATGCGTTAAATGTTATCTGCTTTTAGCCTGTGAAACCCATGTGAGAGCGGGTGTCTGTAACCTTGTAAACTCAGTGATTATATCCATAAACTATTAAGTACACATTGAATAATACCCTGAAGTACAGGCATACACCAAAGCTTGAGCAAACAGCCATTTTTTTAGAAATGTATGAGCCCTACAGTTGAATGTTTGTATTTTCTCCTGCAAAATCTAAAATGTAGTGTAGATCCTGTGTGTATTGTATGAAACCACACATAGCTTTTTGCAAAGGGATTGTTGTTGTGAAATGTACAAGCAAAACTGAGCATTCTGAAAGCTGCAATAATCAATTTTTCTTATATTAAATGACTGTGTCTGTAATGCAAAAGGGGTCGCTCGATGTGACAAACCCCACAGAGGATTATCACCCAGCCCTGCAGTTCCCTTCAACCTAATGGAGCTTTCACTGCCTTTTCAAACTCATTGTTTTGGTTTATGGCCTGCAACTTAACTGTTTTGTTTCACTCTCCCTGCCCTCAGCACACAGACAAAGTTAGCGACCAGCTGGTTAAGAGAGCGGAGCACTTAGCTAGAGAGACAGTTATTTCCCTCGGATGGAGGAGAGGTGGAGAAGACGGCTAAAAAAATTTGTATAAATAAGCAACTGTCTGCGTTTAACCTTATAATCAAGTTAAATAATTTGGAGTCGTGTTTATGACCGCCTCCGAAAGTCCAATATTTCCCCCCTTTATGCTTTGTTTTTGGTCTCTACCATCTCCTGAGGGAAATTTCAGGCTCCTGAGCTGCTAAACTAACTGTGTCTTTCTGCCGTTTGGTGATGAGCAGGTAGTGAACAGTGGACTTTTAGAGCTTTTTCACTGAAAACAACTGTCTGCAGCAGCTGAAAATGATGCTATAAGGAGCTGCAGATTCAGCTGATAATTCTCTGTAGGTTCATCACTTCATTGTCACATTGTTATTATAAAAATATCAATTATAGCTGCTTTAAACTCGTAAGTATTTTCTCTTTTGTCTCTCTGTTCCTGTTTCGCAGCACACAATGTTTCACTGCCAGATTCCAAAACCACTTCTGTCAAAACTGAACTTCCTGGTGGGAAATAACAAGTACAGCCTTGGTGCTGTTCTGAAGCCTTGGTGCTGTTCTGAAACACTCATGTACATCTGTCTCTCGAGGCCCATGAGACAGAAGGTTTTTGTTCCAGCCAAACACTACACCAGCTAATTTCACTGATTAGCGCACCCTCAACCGGAAAGCAAGCTAATCATTGTAATCAGGTACCTGTAGTGTTTGTTTGGAATGAAACCCTTCATAGCCCATTTAGCACTACAGGTGTAGAGGTAACGGTTGTCATCCATGTTTGACCTTTTGTGGAATTTATTTAACCAAAATTTCCTCCACCCAGCTGGGCAGTGGCCAGACTCCCGGTGAGCTGCTGACCCCCCTGGTCCTGAACTCCATCCTCAGTAAGGCCCTGCAGTACAGCTTACATGGGGACACCCCTTTAGCTGGCAACTTCACCTTCGCTCTACGCTTCCTCCCGGAGACCTTCCACCCGCACGCCCCCGATTCTCTCAACTGTCTGGAGCTACGCTACAAGGTGAGGCGATGTGTTTTAATGCGGTGAGTAATAGAGTGTGTACGCGTGCATGGGTATGCTTGTCACAGCATGACTGGCAGCTTGAATGTGACAACCTGTCATGTTTTGACAAACTGCCCTGGGTGTGGAAAATTAGCTTATCACGCATTTAAATGGTTGAACCTCGTAGATTGATTGGAGTTGGGTCTTTTGGGTGACATGCACAGTGACTAATACTGCACATATTGTCCTCTGTTCTTGTTCTTCATCCTCCTATCTCTCTTATGACTGACTCTCCTACTGAATCTCCATCTTGTCCCTTTCCTTAATCTCCCTCCCTCACTTTTCCCATCTTTATCTTACTTCACATTTTACTTTGCTCTTTCTCTCTCAATATATCATTTCCCCCATGCCTCCTCCACCCCCCATCTCTCACCACTCTGTCTTCCACTCACCTCCTTTATCAACGTCTCTGCACCCACACCTTTCTCCTCCCCTCTCCTCATCTGTCACTTTCCCTTTACCTGTTTTTTTTTTTTTCCAACTCCCATTCCACTTATCTTTTGCTTTCTTTCACACTCACTTGCTCTCACACCTTCACACATTTTTTTTCTCTCTCCCTGGCGCCTCTGTCTCTTTCCCTTTGCGTCATCTCCCAGGTGGACTGGCCACTGAACATCATCATCACGGACAGCTGCATGAACAAGTACAACCGTCTGTTCTCGTTCCTGCTACAACTCAAACACATGGTGTGGAGCCTCCGTGAGGTCTGGTTCCACCTCAAGAGAACAGGTGAGAAGGTGGGAGCAGTAGGTTCAGGCCCAGCTCAGACTCCACCGTACCTCTGAGAAGGAAGAGCTAAGATTCTTCCTGTTGCGCTTGAACTGTTAATAAAATATTAATGGGGGTGAATGTTGCAATTCCTTTATGTTTTATTTATACAAAGCACATCTCATACCAGTGGGATTGTTGTAAAACAGTGTGTTCAGTGGGTTAGATAGTATTGATCTGTGAAAGCCTGTGTATAGACTACATAAATGGATGCACTAAAAGGGAAAAACGAAGTATGAAGTTATTAGAGGGTAAACTTCAGTGATCATAACATAATGTAACAACATATTACTGATCACCAGGGTAAAATGTGAATGATTACTTAATACAGGACTGCATTTTTTTAACACAAGCAGGACGAACATGACTGCACTCAAAGAAAAAATGTATAATAGAGAAGTTAACTGAGGTATGTCAGTATTGTAGTGTGCCTACTGATTCATGTAAAATGATATTTTTTCTTTTAAAAGCAAGATTAAGATGAATTCCTGTCAGAAGTTCCCAGAGCCCAAAGTGAGTTCAGTTTGCTGAGGAACAATAGGAAAGAGCCCAAATGCAGTGTTTTTGTTTTCTGTGAAAGGACACATAAAAGCAGCAGATCTTCACATTTCAAAGTCCGTTACCAGCAAATGTGTTTCAATCCTTGTGGCACTGATCATGACTGTTTGTTTTCCTCAGCGCTGGTGAAAGGTGCAGGTCGTTCGGTGCAGTTTCATCAGCTGCAGCTATACAGACATGAGATGCAGCATTTTGTCAAGGTGATACAGGGTTACATCGCCAACCAGATCCTGCAAGTGTCCTGGAGCGAGTTCACAGCCAAGCTGGCCACTGCCAGCGACCTGGATGCCATCCACCGCACACATGCAGATTACCTCAACAGAGCCATCTTCAGGTGAGGGCTGGAACTGCATAGGTGCATATAACAGTATTTATTGCATACGAATGCCTGCTGTTCTCTCTGTACTCAAAATAGGTTATATATGATTTTCTTTAATTGTATTCTAAGAGAAAACATTTTGGAACAAGACCAAATGTCCTTGTCTTCCCTTGATTGCAATAAATTAAGTTATTATATCAATTTTCAGCAATTACAGTGATCAGAGCTTCAAGTATTCAGTGTTTAAGCTTATAGCCTGTGCATCCTATGTGAGAGCATGCACATATAACCTTGTAAACTCAAACACTGTAGCTTATATAAACTAAGGACATGGTGAATATACCAAACCACATCACCTGAGTTACACAGAGTTGATTTAAAAATGCATGTGCCACAGTTAGAAGGCTGTCCTCCACAGGCCGTCACGCCACACATTTTTTACCATAATTTAGTATAGAACTTTTATATTAGTGTTTGGCCCCTCTTTATAGAATTTGTTGGTGAATTAAAATACATTTAATTTGAAATTTCGGACTGATCTATATGTCGACATGTAATGTTTAATCTCATGAATGAATGATCTAACATATACACACACTCTCAAAAACTGGTCGGGGTGCACCTATCCAATAGAGATGCCCTTCTGTGTATCAGCCAATACATAACCGAGTAACATTAAATACACTTTGTTTGTCAGTGTCATTTGAAAATTCCCTGTTGCTGCTATCAGTTACATTTATTGAGTCACAGAGCTCCAACAATCGGTCGATATTGTGATGGGCAGTTACAGTATTCACCTGTATTGAGGTATGCAGATTTTACATTTGGTAGGAGTGAACTGGAATCAGATCACCTGAGTTCATGTATTGGCAGAGAAATGGTTGATTTAAGCTCATGACAGGTAAATTAAAATGTGCTGATTCTTCTATTCTTCCTCTGTCTTCTAAGACAGTAAATTGAATATCTTTGTTTGGTTGGGGGGGGGAAACAAGCAATAGTAATACCTCTGCTTGAGTCTTGGCAAATTATGATGGGAATCGTTCACATCAGAACACTGACCATAAAGTGTTTGGCATTTGTGCCCAAAAATTGGCTTTTTTTTTTTTTGATTGACTTATAGTTGCAGCTTTAGATCAGTCGTTCAATCTAAAAAATAAATGTCAGTTGGAGCTCAGATATTTCACATATGGACGGACTCAAAATTACGTGTTGTTAAAGCTGTTTTGCAAAGTGTCGTGAACTTTAATATAGCCAGAAATCAGGATTTTAGCCTGCACCACAAAATGGAGAAACATTCAAGGGAGTGAAGTAATTTCTTCAGGCTCTGTAGAGGCACAGCAAGTTAAAGTGGAACACTCTGCACCCATAATTTCATAGAAAATTAATTCAACCTCCTCGTCACAAGTTAATTAAAATTCCAGCTGGATCTGCGGCTAACTTTTGAACCTGATGAATGATTTAATCTCATTAGGAGAGGTTGTCAGTATCACACTTTTCTGTGTATAATTTCAGCCCGTCTGAAAAGTCATTCCAAAGTTCCTTGTCACATTTCTTAAACTTTGCACTCTCCCCTCGCTCTCGACTCCCCAGGGGTTTGCTGACAGAGAAAGCGGCTCCGGTCATGAACATCATCCACAGCATCTTCAGCCTGATCCTCAAGTTTCGGGCCCAGCTGATCGCACAGCCCTGGGACAGCCAGCAGGGGGAGGCAGTGCACCCCAGCTTCGTTGCCATGCAGCAGTCATACAATACCTTCAAGTATTATTCTCACTTCCTTTTCAAAGGTAAGGGCAGGATATTGTTTTGGATCTGATTTAATGCCTTCACCCACATTTAAATTCTGGGGAAAGGGTCATCAAAAGGTGAAGCAGTTCTGATCCCCGTCTTGTTTTTACACATTTTTATTGAGTAGTTTGATAACATGGAATTTTCCAAAGGTATAAAGTGTACATTGTCTTCTGATTTCAAGCTGCAAGGTATTTAACTAAGCCAAATTCTAACAAATTGAGAGTTTGTTTTTTAAAGCATGTTGAAATTTCCTAAATGGAAGGGATTAAGTCATCCAGCCACATTGTAATGGTTGAGAGAATAGGTTTCTTTGAGCTTACATGAGTATTACCCTTTTTGCTGTAATGAGGGAAGAGGATGTTTCTGAGCTGAAGTCAGGTTCATCTTTGATTTAAAATGAACCAGGGGTGATCAGTAAAGCATCTGGTCTTAGATTAGAGGTAATGCCTTTAGAAATAATGTGAAAAAGTCTAAAAACAAAGAGCTGAATTATAGAACACATGAAACAAAACTGTAGCTTAAAGTTTCAGTTTTGGAATATTGGAGTAATTGTTGTATTTTAAATTATACAGTGTCTAGCTTTGTTTGAACTTGTATGTGTTAAAGTACTTCTCCACTGGTGTGATTACTAGATTATAAGAGTTGGATACATTTTTTGGATAAATCTGTATACTTTCTTTGCTGCACCAATGTGTTTCCTAAATTTTGGGGTTTAATGATTGATATTTTTTTCAAGCCAGTCCTAAAACAGAATTGACATGTTCATATGAATATTAAAACTGTTTTTGCTGGCTATAATTGTTCCTTCTGTTCATAGTCGTTATTAAGAGCCCTAAAGCCGTTTCAGAGTGAGTAGTGGGAGACAAAATCCACAGTCCTTTTTGCACTAAACAGACTTTAGAAGATACCCACAGGATTTTTCTAACTCACCCTGCTCATATTATCTTCTGCTAATGTGTCTTCTGGACTGTGGATCTTTTGATCTCTCAATGGCAGTATGAACAGGGATTACAGCATGCCAAAAAGTGTTTCAATGTAAATATGAGTATTGTTTTAAGACAAGTGCTATGAAGAACACATACTTAACATCTTTGTAGGGTAGGGTGTAGTGCTTTTCTAAAATGTTTTGTTTCTTTTTACTTCTGTCAGTGGTGACCAAGCTGGTGAACAGAGGCTACCAACCTCATCTAGAGGATTTCCTGCTTCGCATTAACTTCAACAACTACTACAAAGACTCCTGAGCTGTGTACTGGTGTGTATGTTGTACATGAGTGTGAGTACTTGACATAATGCTGGCCATTTGTTTGATACTTATCCAATGGACCATTGTGTATCACGAGTGTTTATATGGCCGAAGACAGTTACTTTGACACATATAATACATCATTTTCCAAAATGAATTTAAAGCCCCACCAGTTCTTTATTATTATGGATTTGACATTCAAACCACTTAGGCCAAGTGATATGCAGGATTTGAACTACATGTCTGTGTGCTTGGTTAATGGCTTTGCTTCCAAAGTTTGTGTGAGATGAAGCTGATGCCGTCTGTAATGTCTCCCATGCTCAGGTGTGCATCCAGCTGTGTATAAATTAAATTTCAATTATATGTAAATAGCTAAAAGTTGTCTAATAAAGGTTTTATTATCTAGCGTTGCTCTCAGTTCTTTTGTGATATAAAGAAAACAGTTACTAGAGTAAGAAAAAACAAACTTATTAAAGGTGTTAACATTGGTTTTAGAAAACGAAAACAAATTAAGTGCAAAGCCTTATGGGTAGTGGATTCTGTCAACTTAAGCCATTTCCAAAATGACAGTAATATAGCAAGGGCTGCATTTTCTCCTATTACTCATTTATTTTCAACACTGAGTGCCCAGATTTTTCCTGACAGCGCATTACTTAAAAAACACATGTATATCAAGACTATGTAGCACAGCTGCAGTAAGTGTAAAGGGCTGCAGGAGGCCACATACAGAAAGAGGATTTAGTTTCTTGACTGCAGGTTTGAGGAATAACACAGGCACCAGTTTGTATCAAACTGGGGGGGGAAAAATCTCATGCTTATATCATCAGTCAACAAAAGTTTGTTTGGATGCATTGCTGTAGTTTTATTGATGGTATGGGTATGATTGAAGCAATTCAACCAGCACCAGAGGAAGGAGGGTACAAGTCTATTGGATGGACAGAATTTTCTTTCTAGCGTCAGAAGACCAGCCGATACACATGTACATCAGGCAACAGAAAGAAAAATGGTTAACCTTTATGATTTAAAGCTAAAGACAGACTTTAAAGAAATACTTAGTCGCTTTCTGATAGTTAAAGACTGATACCACCTTAATATTTGTTCCTTAAATGTAAGGCTACAGCCAGCAGTCTGTTAGCTTAGCAAAAAGACTGGAAAGGGGGTTTAACAGCTAGCCTGCTTCTGTAAAGTGGTAACAAAATCCACGTACTAGCACCTCTAATGTGCACCAATTAATGTTTCTCTTTTGTGCCAGACTATTTCTTGGTTGCCAGTTGCCAGGCAACCAGCCAAGAAAAAGTTTACACTTTTTTGTACAGATTAAACAAATGAAGAAGTGTTAATTAGTGATATTTAGATGTGTGGTTAAATGGATTTTGGTACCACTTGACAGTTGTTTCCACTTTTTGTGCTGAGCTAACTGGCTGTAGCTTCATATTGGTATCACACTTTTTATAGAATTCTCCAAAATAGTGAATAAGCGCATTTCCCCAGATTTGTCAAAACTTTTTACTTTAATTACAATGATTAGTGTCACAAGCAATCACACATAACTGTAACTAATTATTTCACCAGTACAGGAGGCAGTTCTAAAATATCCACATTATTCTTTATTCTTGTTTAACATAGGCTATGTTTCTGCCAAGAGCTCTGATGTAGAGTAGAAAAAGCAAGCAAGCGCACTGGTCAACACAATGTAACTTTCACGATCAACGTCAAGTCAGTGGTTTTGACCCCGTCTGTATTACACCGTAAAAAACATATTACATTCACACAGTGCACCATGGGCTTCCACTGTCCATTTAGATCAGTGTTAAAGCTGGAATGGGCTGGAATGGTATTAAACTGCACTGGAATCCAGAGGGAAGGCAGAATTTCACAGATCAGTCGCCTTCCCTTAAGTTTTTCTGTTCTGATTATTATTCGTATGTAAAAGCAAAGAACAAATGGCTTTTCAATGAGTACCCCACTGTGGTCTGCCGATGCACTACTGTAACATTTCACTTTATTTCTTTAGTACTACTGCTCAGTGTGGAGGTATTAATCTTTTGCAAAGGGACAGAGAGAATGCCAATATTTAATCATGCACAGCATCAGTCCTAGCATATTGGCTCTGAAAGCTTTTAATACGGCCAACTCTGATTAAACATCATATAGACACTCAGACAGGACATATAGGCTTTCAAGAAACTGAGCGCAAAACAATATTCAACCTGCTCAAGGAGGACCTCCCATACTGATCATCTTAAGACATGTTTTCTTACAGGTAGTAAAAATAATGTAAAATTACATTAATTCGGTTTAGTGGGAATGCTTAAGATAGTCGGGATGCCATGTCTGTGTAACCTTGTAGTGGCAAGAGTGCAGAAAGAACAAACATTTAATCACTTGCGCCAACTGTGTCCACTGCTTCAAGACACATGCTCACACATAACGAGCAATGCAGCAGGAACGGACATTATTTTAAACTATTTTAAATCACTGTCCTAACAGTCTAAGATCCTTCAAATTCCTCAATTAGTGCCTTCTGTAGCCATCAAGCGTTATTAAAAATGATCAACCTTGGAAGTGCAATTACTTTTTTGTACACGAATAAACAAGAAATAAATGTCAAAGTAGTTGCATAGGAGCCTTACATACAAGTTAGTGTAAAACAATGTTTTCTCCAAACACTTCAAACTTTGTAAACCTAGAAATGAATGTAAACCTAAACTGAAGCAAATTATTCACCACTTTCTGGTAGATAGCTGGGGATATTAGAAGACAATAAAACACAGCCAATACCTATGTGCTGTCCCTTTTGTCATAAGTACCACCCACAGTGGTGTAAAAAAAAAAAAAATAAAATCCAAAGACCCATGCAATTATCTGACTGTAGAAAAACAGATCAAATAGAACGCCCATGACATGTGCTTTTTGGTGCAGGCAACCGCCTGCTAACGTTTTTCATTACAGCAAAAAAAAAAATAGATGTAGTAACACAGGGTAAATGGACTAATATGGGTGTTACAGTACCATAGTTGGGGCTAGGGGGTCACGAGAACACCTTCGTCCAGGGAAAAAAAAAAATCTGACTTTAGCCCTGGTTGTTGTTGTTTTGTTTTTTTTCGTGTGTGTGTTGGGGGGGTGGTCCTAACTCGGACTAGGCCTCAGACTCCAGGTCTTCTTGTCCTGCTCCGTTGGTTGTGTCTCCCGTCTCAGGCTCCAGCAGCAGGAATTTGCCGTCGTTGGTTAGAGGCATGTTTTTCATCAGCTGGGCCAGTGCCTCTGGGTCCTTATTAAAAAACCCACAACAAAAAAAAAACAGTTGCTGAGTAAGAATTTATTATATTTTTTGTGTGTGTTTGAAATGTACCTACATTGTCACCTTTTATTGTTAGGGCTATAGGAGGTAAAATGTTGACCAACTCCCTCTAGTGGTTGTGTTCTTTCTGTTCTACTGTAAAAGCTACTGGGATTCAGCGTTATGAAAATATAAAACCTAAAAAAAATAAAATAAAATTTGAGCTTCACCAAATACAAATAATGTGCATCTGCAAGACTTAAATGACTTTGAAGGATCCAAATAAAATGAACAAAAACGGTAAATAAATATTGTGAGTGAGGTAAAATATAGTATGTATTTAAGTTTCTAGGTGAAAGCAAGTTTGAAAAGATGAGTTAAGTTTTCTTTTCAAAGCTATCTACAGGGAGTATGTGGGCTTATGAAAGTCCAAAAGATTTTATTTCTTTAAAAAGGCACTGTATACAAAGATAAAGGCCTGACTCGAATAAAGTGGCATCAACGACAGTAATACTGTAGTGTGGTCTTTACAGAAAATGTAATCAGTTTCTCTCTTATGGGGGAACATTACCATGAGAGGGGGATTATCACTTTTCCTTGCCACTAAAAACAGCTAATTTATTTAATTGTGTTTTACTTTGTCCTCTTGTTTATGCCTTTCAGCATTCAATAATTCATTCAATTTAACTGTTTTCCATTTTTTCGTGACCTTCCTACCTTCTTGGCTTCTGTAATGTCCTTCGCCAAGCTAATGGTGTAACATATCTGTGAATAAAAATAAAAGGAAAAACTTCAATATACATTTGTGCATCAGTTAACATGTTTCTCCTTGAAAAAAATCGCGTTTGGTGTATCAACCTTTTCGCCCTCCGTGTTGCTCTCAAAGACAAAGGCGCAAAATGAGGGCTCTCCTTCCTCATTTCCGTCACTCCAGTCTCTGCCCTCAACCACGAATCCCATGAGCCGCCCGTTCTCCTGGTGGGCTGCAAACTGACATACCTCTTCAAGCTGGAACTGAGAAATAAGGAATATTGAGAAACAATGTGATTAAGTTGAATAACATGACTGGACCTCTTAAATGCCTAATAAGGGACAAAAAAGGTTCTTGAGGAGATACTGAATCAATCATACTTACGCTTATTCTTGTAACTTGAGTCTGTGGGTCAATCAACCTATTGTGAAGACAAAATAGACTTTCACAGGAATATGAAAACAGCAGTAATACTTCAGCCTTGGCTTTAGATTTGTCAGCTTTTGTTAGCGAGCTCTTGTCTCTTTTTCAAATAGTCTTTAGTTACAGAGCAATGCAAGGTGAAGTGTCTTACAAATGTGAAAAACCCATAATGGGTTATACAACACCTCAACATCACATGTTTTTGTAGGATAACCTAATTGGCATACAAAAGAGTTTGTCGCAAATATTTATACTCCAGAGACTCCAGAAGGTTCTTGCTCCAATGTCTTTTCTCTTTGTCTTCAGGTAGAGAAATTACAAATTCACCTCAGGGGGCTTTACACTCTGTACAACACATAATACACCCCTTTATTCTGTTGTGTTGCTCAGTGTGAGGCTACAGGATTTCAAGACCATCAAAAAGTTTTTTATGTAATTTAATTACAAAGACACATTTGAATCAAAATTAAATTTATTTTTAATTAATAAAAAATTCTGTATTGGTGGGAAATTTCTGAATGCATCCCCATCTTTATATTCTGAGGTTCAATCAGTAGTTTTTGTCTGCCCTCAAAGGTAGTATTCATGTAACAGTTCATAAATTCTACCTGAGGCTACTGCTGGTGACCATGAGGTGAGACTCTGTAGTCCTGAATATGTTGTGGATGGCTCGGGCAGCAAGCACCTGCCTCATGGCCTCATAGATCACCTCCTGATTGTTGCCACAGCGCACTGCCATTGACCCCAGGAAGCGCACGGCGAATACCTGCTGCAGAAGGGAGTCTGCGGAAACATACAAACATCACCCATACACAAACACATCCGCAGCATGAACACTCAAGGACAGTGAATAAAATAAATTGTAAACTTAAGGTACGCAATCATGCACACAATGAGGTTGAGCTGGAGTCAAACAGTCTTTGACAGAGAGATAGTGGAACATTAAGTTGCACTTGGAAGAGGAAAATGGTTACCGTCACTTTCTGTTGAACATACATCGTCCGTTTCTCCAAATGGATTTGTGCGTCTGTCGGGGGAGCGCCAGCAAAAAAAAACAATTAATCCCCTACATTGAGTCATTATGAAGCTTTCAGATTCCTGGAAATGATATAACCACTATGAGGCCAACGTACAGGAAAGTAGCGTCATCACCCACCAGTACCTTGTTCCTGCCTGTCTCTCATAACCATGCACCCCCACAAACTTCCTGCCCCGGATGTTCCCTCACCTTCCCCCGGCCCTGTTCTGGTCCTGAAACTCGGAGGCTGGCAGCATGATGTCAAACTGAATGGGTGTCCCAGGGGCTATCAGGTCCTCTGGCTCTGGGGCAGCCCCTGTCTTCTGGGAACCGCTGCTGGTGGCGTGTATACCTCCTGGCTTAGCTCTTCAGGAATGAGACAGACAGAATGAAGGTAAGTTATATTAGGAATAAACCCAGAACATCCAAAACATTTACCACTCAACTTATAAAGGACATGTTTACATTTCTTGAGGTCTATCTCACAATACGCCTACAGAGTTTCTAATTTAATAGAATTGAATGAGTTTCTCTAGTCTACATTGGCCGCAAGGTCCCTTCTCTACAATGTAAGTGACGGGGACAAAATCTACAGTCCCGTAAAGAGAATGTTGTAATAAAAACTTAGCTACATTTTAAATTGCATTATGAAAGGTTCATTGTCTGGTTCTTGGCAGTGCCCAACTCAAACCAAAAAATGTGGAGAGGTGGAGCTGAGGTGGCCCATTCAAGCCTGTACCTGTGATGGCACTCACCAGTCACTAAAAGCAGCCCACCTTTAATTTTGCATAAGTTTAAGCCTTAATATAATTTAAACCAGTAATTTATATAAAAATTCACCTCTCGAACAGTTAATGAGGAAATTAGAGAGCAAACCTGTTTTTTTGTACCAGGCTGTAAATGTACACATTTATTTTTGCTTTACAGGAGGGCATTTTAGTGGCCATTTGATGAACTGCAAGATTTTGCCACTTCAGCCCCAGAGGTTGCTGCTTGCTTATCATTTCTAGCCAGTGATTATTAATTGCCTGGGCGAAATTACAACTGTTGCTTGCCTGTATTCTCAGCTCTAGCACACTAGCTAATTAAGCTAAACTTGGCTCAATGAGTAGGTTGAAAACTGGCTGACAAATGTTTCCAACTGAAATGGTTTGAAACAGGAATCCCATATAAGTGGTCTTACCAGCCAACTATTGCTATCTTACATGTGCACATGATTGCCAGCTAATGCTAATAGATAACTTAGTTGTCTTTACTGTAACCCCACAAAATAATGTAGTGTGAAAATGTTAATGGATCTTGGAAGTAATGTTGGTTTAGCATTAGTTTACTACCAGTATAAGATAATAAGCCGGATATGCTAACATGAGTAGCTTATGTATGACACACACACACACACACACACACACACACACACACACACACACACAAACTTTAATCCTTTCCTTGGACTTTTGCTTGTGTGTTTGTGGTTTTAAAAAACAACCATCCAAACTTTTTCCCTCATTTTATCTCATTGACTGTAAAAACCCTTCTACATGCTAAGCTCTAACTTTATACACCAAGAACAAATACATGCAGAGGAAGATGTCACTTTTACAGTGTCACGGCACAGACACAATGATTAACTAGTATTTCACAATAAATTCATTACCCAACAAAGAACAAAAAGAATGCAACATATATAGTTTTAAAAAATATGTTGCAGCAAAATGCAAACTTCTTTCCTCTATAAAAGCATTTCATTTTAAAATTGATGCAGTATGTAGTGTTATGAATAAACCCTTACACAAGGACCATGCCTGACCTGTCAGGGTTGGGCGAGCCTTCAGGTCTCTTCTCAAAACTGGTGATGGGTGTGACTGCCTGGATGGCAGTTTGGTTCAGACGGATGGCAACAGCCTAATAAGAAACAGGGACATTGCAGCATCACTGTATCAGCAGGTGAGCCATTTATAAATAAGACCTGAACAGTGTATAAAAATATGCTTATATATATATATATATATATATATATATATATATATATATATATATATATATATATATATATATATTTTATATATACACACACACACACACCAATTCTCTACATTATCTCAACCTAATCATTGCTCTGGGTGCCATAAGTAGGGTCTATTCACCAGCAGTAATTGTTAAAAAATAGCTTACGTTTTCCTAGGTTTTTTTCCCCAGGTAAAGAAAATGACTGAAGGTCTCAGGTCCAAAATTAGTCTTTCTAGCCATTTCTGGGCCCAGGTGTATATTATTGATGCAGGATTTGGGAGGAAGAATTTTCCTTTTGCTACATAAAGCAAGTACTAGCAACTTAAACTATCAGTGTTCATAGACATGCCATAACATGAAAAAAACAAACAAAAAAAAAACATTATTGACAAAGTAATCCTTGGACACAATCATTTAAGATGGATTGTAAATAAAAAAAAGTTTAATTGAAAACAATGATTATGTTAATTTAAATTTCAAAAAAGAAACTGTGATATATGATAGAGGATGTTATAAGTCACAGATTTATAGGAAGTTTCTTCTCTACACAATGCTCGATTCCTTTTTAAATAAAACAATAAACACAGATCACAAAGAGAAGAAATGAGAAGATGGAGTGGCCACAGAATACAGATCACCAACTCGACATTTAAACTACCAAGTCATTATCATGCAGGGAAAATAAATGAGTGAAAGAAAGAGTCATTTCAGACACAGCTATAGTCTGTTTGTCTCTGGAGAATTTGAAAAATAAACATTTTCACTGAGAGCCAACCCTCCTGTAAACATGCAGGATTGTGCAAATGAAAAAGCAGTAAAGGCAACAACATCTGTGAGAGACTTCAGAGAGACAGTGCTGGAACAACACCATTACATTTTATGTCTCCATAACAGAGAATAGATTCCGCATTTTATTTGATTCTAATTAAAGTGGTGGAACAACAAATATATGTCTCACTGCCTGATCAAATACCAAGAGTGATGTTCTAATCTATAAAGATCAATGAAATGCTTCTGATTAAGAGTCAGAATTTTGTTACATCTGACATTTGGTTTAGTAAGTGTCTTTTTTTATTTTTTTTTATTCAGTGTGTGTGTGATGCAGTGTGTGCATATGAAACTGTGTGGGAGTGTGTGTTACCTCTGGGTTGTCAGTCAGGTAGATCTGTCTGGAGATGTTGTTCACAGTGCAAATCCACTGAGAAAGAAACACAGAGATTTACATTAGGACTTCCTATAGCTCAGATGCGAGTCGCCTGAAATCACTTGACTGATACCAGCTGTGACAGGCCAGTCAGACGTGTCCAAGCACAAAAACAAATATGAAAACCACACAAATGGGTCTCGACAGCTACTCCGTTGTTCTGTGACTGACATCACCAAATGTCTTTGGGATGAAGATGTAAAACAATAAGATCAAACACAGCTGTTTCAATAGACTCTTTCACACTTACTTCTTCATATTCCCTTTTGCTCTCAGCTTGTAGGATCATTGACCTGGAGGCATCAGTGACAATGAAGAAAATTAAAATACATCCAAATCTCATACACAATGGTGTCATTGTTGGATATGTAGAAAAGTGAACATATACGTTTTGCCTGAGGGGGAGGTTATCTGAAAACAGTAGCGTCTGTCCTCACACTCCACAGCCATAACCGAGCTGTTATCCAGGTCCAGCACCATGCCCCCCGCCACCGCCCCCCGCGGCTGACACATGAGGTTCCCTCCCTGGGTGAAGAAGTAGAGTCGGTCCCAAGCTGTGGTCACTAGGCCTGTTTTACTGGAGCACAGAAAAGACAGGGCAGAAAGAGTGGATAAAGGTCGGCACTAAACTATTCACTTATGTATCATGATTCTTTTTAACGATTTTTGATGGTTAATGAATGATTAATGAATCATATTATTAATGATTAATTAATAGCCATATTATTATTAATTATCATTAAATCAATGATGCTGCTGAAATAACACTAAAACAGTCTCTAGAAGTGTATGATTCAACTTGTCCCCCATGGTGTTAAAAATGCAAACAGAACTCACTATAAATCGTAATATCGAATCAGTACCAAAGTATCGGGATAGTACTGAATCAGTCAACACAATACCTTGAAGTAATCATTCATGAAAACTTTAACTGGAAATTTGGAATATTTTTCCTATATTTTTCACAATAAAAAAATACATAGAAATTATTTTTAATGTGTAAATGCTTGAGATGTCCTCAATCCCTTTTTGTTTGTCATTCTATTTTCAGTGCTCATTGCAGAGGATCTGTATCCACTCAGTTTCAAAACAAAGCAACGTGCATATGACTCATTTGAATTGCGCATCTGCAAGCCTTCCTCTTGTACATTCTGTTTAAAAAATATTCCCAAATAAATTTCCTTTGATTAATATCGAAGTGTGTGGCTCATGCTGCCGTGGGTGACTCAGACCCTTGATATTGAGAAACGATTCAAAATAGCAAATGTTCTCTGGCTCCATTTGACAAGCGTTTGAGGCTGCTGGCAGTGTGTGTCATTAAACAGAATGGCATTCTGTGGAAACCTTTTCTCTGGTGTCACAGACATTTGTCAAAGACTTTGGATGTATATGAGGGAGAGACAGAGTTTGACAGCTCTGACATTTCACTAAATCACATTGCGGGCTACGCTACAGTACTACCCCCTGAAGCCACTATGCTAAGTTTCCCTTCTCATACATCCACTCTGCAATAAGCTGACAGCGCACAGTGTCAACATGTTACCTGACCTACCGTCTGCTGTGACAGACTTATTGTTTACTGTGTTCATGAGTATTTTGAGCAACTTCAGCAAGAGAAGCAAAAATCCTTTCTGTGTTGTGTTTGGTTATTCAGACAGTCAGGACCTATCCACTTTATATTGATCGCAACATCTATCGCACTAGAATTAATTCCCTAACAAAACACTGAAATGTCACATATATAAAATGAAGACAGATTAAAAGCTTGATCCTCAGCTGTTCAATTCGCCTCGCCCTCCCCCAAAGACACTCCTTCACATATCGACTATCGCTATGTGAATAGGAAGTGTCACTGGGTAATAGATAGGGCCATAATGACACTAATTAATCTTACTTCCTAATGTTGAGGTAGCCAGCCTTCTGGATAAGCGTGCGATTGACAGGCTCAGTGTCCTTATCTGGCATATAGACAGTGTCCTCCACAGACAGAAGCTCCCTCTGGGACCCACGCATGGCCTCTGCCTCCACATCCAGCTGGGCCTGGATACTAGACAGGAAGAATGTTTTAGTACAGACAAATTCCATCAAAACTGACTTTCAGAAATTTGGATTTTTCTACAAATTGAGCATGAAAATACAGGATTTTTAGATTTGATTGCTTAAGATTATTATGATGAAGTATTATTCTGTAAACAGTTGCATTCCCTGAAAAGGTTGACCAAAACTATGTTATATTTGTGTACAATTCTTCAAATAAAATATTCTGTTTAGGATCATACACAAAAAGCCACAGTACTTTATATTGTTTGTACCAAAGCTATGGTTCATCACATGCACTTAACACATGAAAATGAATGATAATGACATAGTCTTCACTTTTGCGTCATGCTGGACACAGAGGAGAGAAAGTTGTCCATCTTCTTTGACACCAGCTCAACACCTTTCTTGAAGAAGCTGATCTGAGAGATTGGAAATAATAATGAGCAATTTATCTTGTATTTTGTTTATTTTCACAGTTGCACTTTTATGCAATAGAAATTTGTAACATCAGACAAAAATCACTTGGTCACATGTAGGGCTGCAACTAGCGATTACTTTCATTACTAATTAATCAGCCTTTTACTTTCTCGATTCAAAGTAGTATAATTTTCCACAGATGATGTATCAAACAGCTTGTTTTATTTGGTCAACAGTCCAAAACCCAAAGATATTTAGTCATCAATCATATATGAAAATGAAAAACATCAAATCCTCAGATTTGAAAAGCTGGAACCACAGAATGTTATAGGTATTTTTGCTTGAGAAAACTAAACTAAAAATAAAACGATAAACCTATTATGAAACTAGTTAATTCATTTTTCTCTCGATCAACTAATGGATTAATCGACACAGATAAAATGTTTTGACATTTATATTGCCTTGACACATTACACTAATAAATGTCCTTTGTAAACTAAATCACATCCAGTGAAGGAAATCACATCTCATATGTAAATACTGAATTTCAATACTGATAGGAAAATGAGTTCCAGTTTGTCAGCCAACAGCTGCTCAGTACCTGTGCCTGTGTGTAGCCTAGCATAGGTTCGAGCATTGCTATTCTCTTGCGATACTGCAGGGCATTGAGGGCGCAGTAATACTGCAGGGAGGCCTGGTGCTGCTTCCTTCTAGTGTAGGCCACCTCTTTCACCAAGTCTGACTTTAGCTGCCCAGACAGTAGAGAGAGTTAAGCATACAACAGTATGTATGTATGTATGTATGTATGTATGTACAGTGCCTTGCGAAAGTATTCGGCCCCCTTGAACTTTTCGACCTTTTTGCCACATTTCAAGTGGAACGAAATTTATTGGATATTTCAAACCTTTTTAACAAATAAAAAAAATGAAAAATTGGGCGTGCAAAATTATTCAGCCCCTTTACTTTACAAAATCTACACTGGAATGGTTCACAAATAAACATATCCAGGTGTTAGAATGGCCAAGTCAAAGTCCAGACCTGAATCCAATCGAGAATCTGTGGAAAGAACTGAAAACTGCTGTTCACAAAAGCTCTCCATCCAACCTCACTGAGCTCGAGCTGTTTTGCAAGGAGGAATGGGCAAAACGTTTATGGGCAAAACTGATATAGACGTACCCCAAGCGACTTACAGCTGTAATCGCAGCAAAAGGTGGCGCTACAAAGTATTAACTTAAGGGGGCTGAATAATTTTGCACGCCCAATTTTTCAGTTTTTTATTTGTTAAAAAAGTTTGAAATATCCAATAAATTTCATTCCACTTCATGATTGTGTCCCACTTGTTGTTGGTTCTTCACAAATTACAAATTACAGTTTTATATCTTTATGTTTGAAGCCTGCAATGTGGCAAAAGGTCGAAAAGTTCAAGGGGGCCGAATACTTTCGCAAGGCACTGTATGTACATGTACACACACGTACGTACACACACACGTACACACACACACGTGTACGTACACACACACACACACGTACGCACACACACACACGTACGCACACACACACACCCACCAAGCTCTGTACACACTCATACATATGCAAACATGTCGTACTCTCACTCTCATACAAATAAGCAACACACTCGCATTATCTGTGCAAATAGAGGAATCTTGTCTTTGCAGCCATTATAGTGCATGGTGCTGTTACAGTCTTACCACAACAGTGGGGCCTGGCAGCAAAGAAATGATTAATTCCATCTATTTGTATTTCACATGACAATAAAACACTCCCACTGCATTACCATTACTGCACTGTAAAACCTTTTAACAGCTCGTAACCAATGGGGACAACGCTCCATCAGTGAAGCTGAGAAAGTACTTCCCAGTCATTCTACCTTTTCATTCTCCTTCTTCTTGGGCAATCGGCTGTATTTGACCATAGCTGCCTCGTGCTCTGCAGGAGAGGCGGGAAAGGACATGAGGATCAGATGGTAACTGCAAGCTGTAAATTGTTTTCCGAAATAGGTTAGGATTTGTACTCACCATCAGTGGCGATCCCAAATATTTCCTTCAGTGTGCTTATCTCTGAAACATTCAATATAGAGAACATTTTGTTAGGAAATCTAAAATGGCTTCATATCTTTTAAAAAATGCATTATTTCTTGAAGTTGATAACTCAAGGTGTTGGTTAACAAAATGATTGTACAAACGGTTTTCTGTTCAGGTTTTTTTTAGAATTAATGATGAATGTCACATGTAGTTTGGTTTTGAAATGCATGTTTTGTTTTAAGTTTTTGATATTTAAAAGAACAAGATCTTGGCTTTAATATTCTATCAACACTATACTATAACACTATTACAGAGAACAAATGCATTATCTGTAATAAAATGGAGCCATTCCCTCTCTCCTCAACTTTAATAAAAGCATAAAAAATATACTTAAAAACATAAAAATGTATCATGAGAAAAGGTTTTTTTTATATATCTGTGTGTGTGTGTGTGTCTCTACCTGTGAGATCTTTCTCTCGAAACTGGATCAAGGGGAAGACCATGCTGTCGGCCATCTGGTTGGCTAGCTCAGAGTGGAGCGAGTTCAGCTGGACCACACAAAACAGATTACACAAAAAATATCAAGCACTGCACAAGGACACAAACAGAAAACATACCCTTGCCAAACATCTTGAGGGATTTAAATTTAATTTAATATATACAGTGACATTTGCAGCCAGTTATTGCTGCAACAATCTGGGATGTAACATTTTCAGTGAAGAGGGTGCATAACTCCAGACAATGCTTATGCTACATCATAAAAAGACCATATTGTGGAGTACATTTCGTAATGAGACTGAGAAAACCTGCTGTTTACTCCTTGGACATTGGAAACAGGACCATATTATCTCACGCACGCACACACACGCGCACACACACACACACACACACACACACACACGCACAGTTCTCTATGCTTATCCACAAGCTACACTCAACACAAAATCTAACAAGCTGACATCCAGTTTAATCTGAAAGATTTAGCAAGTGCTAAAGTTCACAGGATTAGGTGCAGTAGTCGCCCTAATTCTCACCATGAAATCAGTTCTCCTCTGCAAAGGATGAGGTAAAGGTCAAGCAAACAATTAGCCTGTGTCCTCTGAGCATACGTGTGTGTCCTGAATCTTGCTGAGTGCTGACTAGGCAGGCTTGTGGACCCCAATTGCTAACAGTGGAAGGCCCATCTATTTTGTCTATATACCTGAGCCTACGCACCCCTTGTTTATCCATCCATCCACCGCTGCCATCCTCTAGACAGTCATCCATCCGTTGCGATAGGCATCACATCCACTTCACCGTTCCCCTCCTAGCATCGGTATACTATCTGTTCTGGTCTTACTGGGAGGATAATGCTCAGCTCTTTTCATTGAGGTCATTTCCACCAGCGTGCGAGGGGGAGCGCTAGTTACTGACTGTGCAGTAGTTTATCATCCCTTTCTTCTGCTGTAAGTGCGCGCGCACACACGCACACACACACACACACACACAAATATACAGACATAAAACAACACAGGCCTTACCTCCCCTACAGTTTTGGCAAAGTTCTGCAGTGTGGCGATTACCTCTTCATCACCTTTTCCAAGGGCAAAATTCTAGACAGAAGAAGGGAGGGGGAACACATTTTAAACCACAAAACCGCATAATCTAGCAAGATTTAGCCGAAAGTATGGGCTAAAGAGGTAAAAAATAGCCTGTTCTGCCAGCATTTCCGGCACATCACTTCCATGGAACAAAGCCAAAGCTGCTAATAATCACCATACTAAGATGCAGAGTTTCAAGCCTTGTTCGAAGGAACTAAAAAGTGCATCCATTACATGACAGTACAGATTGTTTTTCTATCCAACATGCACTCTGCTATCCAACAAAGTCAGCCGATCCACTTATTTATTCCCCCCCAGCATGATTTAATAGACCAGCTGTGTTGACTTCAGCAACAGTTTTATTTTTTAGTTCTTGTTAGCCACATAAAACGAGTCCCCATGATAGATTACCAACAGAGAGGCACTCCTACTTCAAGGTTCTTTCAAAAGATGAGGTGTGGCAGACACATACAAACTCACGCATGGAAAGAAAGTTCAGATAAAAATGAGATTCAGAACATCGGTTTGACTCTCTCTATTTTGATGCAGCCATACATATAGTTGTTATTGTACATTACCAGAGTTACTTCAATTACTTCACCTACACTAGCCATGATAAAGAAGCCACGTGGGCTTAAGTCACAAAGGTTTGGTTTGACTAGGGAGAACTAAATTATATATGAAATCATGGCTAAAATCAACCCAATCATGTACTCATCGTTGTATTGTGAATATGAAATGTCTTGTAATTTTGTTCTACTAAATTCTTAATTTTCTTAACAGAGATGTTGTTTTCTGTTTCCTGCTCTGGGGCTACAGATTTAAAGATTAAAGATACAGATTTAAAGAGCTCTGAGATAGCTGTTGTTGTGATTTGGCGCTATATAAATAAAACTGAATTGAATTAGCTTATAGCTAACTCTGGTACAGCTTAGAAGTTGTGCACTGTCCCTGTCAAATAAACAAAGACATAAATCTATATATTTATCAAAGTATGATACAATAAATTAAAATTAAATTTATTTAAATTAAAATTGTACTTTCCCTATTAATGGTATTCTAACAAAATGTTCTTAACAGAGATGTTGTTCTCTTTTTCCTGCTCAGGGGCTACAGATGTAAATTAGCTTTTCATATTAATGGTAGTAAAACAAAAAAATAGAGATGCTGTGTAAACCTCTAAGCTCAGTAGCACTGACCCTAATAATTTTTCATAATGCCAGATATTGTTTTATTGGTATCTTTACTACAAAACACACTGTGCTTTGCTCTTGTTAAAGAAGAATATTAACTGTAAATATAAATATTAACCAAAAAAAACACACATTGGTAGTAAATGTTTTCAACCCTGGGCAGTGTCTGCAGGTATTTACTTAAGGCTGCATACAGCCCCAACAAAAGGGCAGCCTGTATGTAGCCTGTGAGGCCAACTCAGGGAAAACAAAATGCAGAAAAACACTTGAAGTACCACGAGCTTGTGCTCCTTATGCTCATTGCTTTAAGGACATGGTAATAACTAAAGGCGACTCTGACAAGCTATCTAACTATCCTCTTCTCTTATCTGGACTATGGTGGCTGGGCAGTCAGACAACACTGTTCAGAGACTGCACTAAAAAGAATCAACCCGAGACAATTAAAGTGAGGGAGACATGACCCCCATACCTTATTAATGGTACCATACTTACTTTCTTCTCATATTGCAGAAGCTGCTGTGAGAGCTGTTCTGTGGCCAACCCCATCTCACTCTGTAAGGGGCAGGTAGAGGGGAAAAGCAAAGTTAACAGACTAGATTAATAGAGAATTGTATGTAGCTTCTACAGTTGTCATTCTTTCTTCAGCCCTTGAAGGGATGAAAGAAAGTGAATGGGCAACAGGTGAATCAGGGTTCAAATGAAGATTCCTTTGAAAAAGCACAAGGTGACAGGTCACATAAATGCCAACTCTAACAGTGGACTAGTATTGGTTCAGAAAAGGTCTAAGGCCATGTTTGTTTTCAGGAGAAAAATGAAGCATTTATTGTGACTACAACAAGTGCACAATGAGCAATCATCGTCAACAGAGAACAAAGTACAGCCTTCAGTGCATAATGTTTCATTCCTCATTTTGAGGCAAATCAAAAAATTGCGCTATTGTAGTTCAACAATGCAAACATTCAACCCCAAATCATCTTTAGGCAAATAAAATTGTAAAAAAACATTTTCCTCATTTTATCATGTTTGAACACATGTGGCTGTTTCACAGAGCCACATACAGCTAAGGGAACAGGGAGTCTGCATGTGTGTGTCTGTTTGTGTGTTGTTTAGTACCTGGGCTCCAAACACACGCTGCAACGATTGTAGCAGCTGGTTGGTATAGTCTGTAAGCATGCCAGCATCTTCCTCAAACACACTGAGCAAGGAGCGTGTCTGTGAGACAGAACATTTACACACTCTTTTGATCCATATGACAAAGGGATGAACAGACTGGATGATTGTTAGATCATTGTAAACAGCGCTGAAACAATTTGTCCATTAATCTACAACAGCAACAAAAATCACTATTAAAGAATATGTTCATATTTTTTAAAGTCTTAAAAAATAGTCAGGTGCCCATATGAACATTCAAACAGTTTTATTGGCTCATAAGAGATATCCTCTTACTTACATCAATGTAAGTGATAGGGGACAAAATCCGGTCCTTGTTCTGCATACAAAAAAGTAGTTTATTTGAGGCTTCAGCAAGACAAATTAAGCGGATATCTTCCAAAGTGCCAGCAATTTTAGTACAAAATATCAAGGACACACTATCAAGCACAGAGGGAGGACTGTGGATTTTGTCTCCCATCACTTACACTGGAAGCGCATTACAGTATACTGAACACTAGTGTTGTAGTACACAAGACCGGTCTTGGTCTCAAGACCAGTCTGAAGACCACTTTTTGATGGTCTTTGTCTCATCTTGGGCTCGACCGCATTTGTACTTGGTCTTGTCTCGGACAATGAGGATTCGGGATCAGTCAAGACCATAACTTTTGGAATATCAATAAATTGCTTTTGCATTGTCTGATTTATTTGTTAACATCCTAACTTTGATTGGATGAAAAACATATTGCTTCAAATGCAACAAATAACCCTAATGTGTTGTTAATGTTAATGACTGTCACCCCTCCCTGCGATGGTAAGATGGAAAAAAAGTGTTGAATAAAGATGCTTACGTTGATTTCAGCTCTTAGTGTTTGTATGTGGGTGTTTTAATGGGAATGTGGATCTTTCAGATCAATTTGAGAAGTACCTATGATCTCGTTCTCGTTTTTATTGTGTGTCATGTAATGTGGGGAACTGGTCTTGGTCTTGACTCGGTCTTGATAAACACTGATCTTGACTCGGTCGGTCTGGGCAGTCTTGACTACAACACTACTGAACACTACACTCATTTAGTACCCAAGTTAAAAAGAAACAAACCCAATTTGAATCAGGTTTGGTGGAAACCAGTAATTCATAAAATAGCTGTATAAGATCATTGTAGTAAAGTGTAAAGAGAACAAAAGACACTGAGTAAAAGAGAGGTGAGTGTAGCTGCAGTATGCAGAGGCATGTTGAAGAGCTGCTTGGAAGTGAAACTAAAGGCATCATAATTTTACTTCAGGCTGGCTATGCAAACTGAGAATATCCTGTCTGGGTGAAGAGCTGCTTGGAAGTGAAACTAAAGGCATTATAATTTTACTTCAGGCTGGCTATGCAAACTGAGAATATCCTGTCTGGGTGCAGCTGTTTCTTCCATAAACAGGTGCAGCAAGGCAGGGCAGATGCAGCAGAGAGGAACACACCCATAGGTTAAAGTCTGATTACAGTTCACTTCTGTTGACTTTAGCCACAGAAGGATTGAGAGACATTTCACACCAAAATGAAATCATCTAGATTATTGTCTGCCTTGACTGTGTTTCATTTTACTGTAGAAATACACCACTCCTGTTTCCTGTTAGGTAGAAATGGCATTTAGAAGGCCAAAAGGAGAAAGGAAAGAAATGACCCTCTAGCACGGGTTGCACTTAAAGCAGAACCATCAAAGGGGGCATCCCTGTTTGGCAAAAGAGTGCTGCAACAGAGCAGGAAATACAGGCTACATTAGATGTGAATAATAGCAATCCTGTATTTCGCTTCACCATCACTAATATCCTTGCATGAGGCCTAGGACTTTCATTTTGCATTTCAGACCTTTAAGCATCAAACAACATAGCATAGTCATCAACAGCATGACTGCTGACAGCTACCATTGCTGCCCTGTTGCAGACTATTGACTAATTCCAGGGAAGTCCGATAATGGAAACCCCTCCCACATCATGTGAATCAGGCCCAGTTAGGCTCCAAAATCGGGTCTAGCCCCAAATCAAACTTCATACGACACTGGCAAATAAAAATATTGCAGGAGATTGGTTCTGGTTGAGTTATGGTCGTGACATCTTTCTTCCATATAGGTATGGGTCTGGATGTATGTTAAGAGCCCTGTGACGAACGGTATCCTAGTAAATACACCACAGACACACAAATGCCCATAATTATGACTAGCTGTATAAACTAAAACATTGTTTACAGCGGGAGGGCACAGCCACTCCAGGCAGAGGCTTACATTCCCATGACAATGTGTCAATTGGAAGCTGTCATCGACCAGTAGAAACAGCCTACAACGGGAGCAAGATAATGTCTGGGCTAGTAAGCTAACTTCAGCGCTAGTAACGTCTTTTTATGTGACAGCTGTGTCTTTAAACGTGATAAACCCCCCACACAGGCCTACCTGAGGACTGTCCTGTAAAGCGTCCTCAAGGAGCAGTTTGTGATGTACGGCCGGCATCTTGTTAGCGGTGGAAGAGAAAGAATGGAAGCTTGAATTATTTAGAGCATGGACTCGATTTCCCAGAAGTCTATGCGCAGGTGAGAGGAACACGTAGGAGCTGGAGGCGGGCCCAAGTCTGATCTCATTCACAGCTGTGAAGAGCAGCTAGCGACCAGTAAACAGCTAAACTTTACCTATAAACTATGTTTTAGTAAGGGTTTATATTCCATTTACTTCTGCTCTGAAGATGATATGATTGGGTTTATAGCAAAACTTCGGTGGGTAGGTAGCAGCTGACTATTAAATCGAAGGTAGGCTACGGGCTTCGTCTAACGTTTAACTATTTTAGTATCAACAGTGACCCCATGTGGACATTTAAAGTATTGCCGAGTTTAATTTCAAAATAAGACATTTGTCACTTGAAAAACAAGTGACACAGACTATAAGATACAATAAATTATTGGTTGACCAAAGGTTGAAAAGAGCAGGTCTTCAATAATTAAACAGTGGTGGAAGCAGTGTTCAGATCTGTTACTGAAGCAAAACTAGCAATATCACAATTTAAAAATACTCCATTGCAAGTAAACTATATGCATTCAAAATGTTACTTAAAGGTACAGAAATACTCATTATGGTGACAGCTTGGCTCATTTCTTTGTCATGTTTTTGTATATTACACCTATCCTTAATACTAAGTAATTGATTTCAACAATTTCTACAATTGTGTAGTTTATGTTAAGCAATACAACATAACTGCACTTATATTTTGTATATAAAATCATCAATCAAATGTATTGGAGTAGAAAGTACAATATTTCCCTCTGAAATGCAGTTGAATATAAACATGAAGAGGCTTCAAATGGGAATTCTCAAGTAAAGTGAAATAAATTTTGAAATGCTTAGATGTGTCTGAAAATGGAGCTCATAAAATCCACAGAAATTGCAAAATGAGATATCATCATCATTTCAGAATGACACACTCTTTCAAAGTAATTGCCACAATAAAACTTAAGCCAATTAGGGAGACGATTATCAGTTTCAGTGAAAGTTTTGATTCAAATAATTTTTTTCCTTAAGATTTGATTTCAACAATGAGCTTTTTCATTTATAATTAAGACCATGTAGGCTAGTTGTATTTCACAGCCTATGTAGACTGATACTGTACATTACGGCTGTAGTAATTCTCATTATTATTTCATTAATTACTCATTTAGGATATAAAATTAAAGGGAAAAAAATCATCTAAGAACCAAAGTTGACATCTTCAAATTACTCATATTGTATTTCAGTCAAAACCCTAAGCTGTTCAATCTACAATTAAATAAAACAAAGTAAAGCAAAAAATCTTTAGATCTGAGAAACTTGAACCAGCTGTGCTGCAATCGAGTTGATTGTTTCAGCACTACATGCATTTATGTTCATTTTATGAATTTCCCGCCACATGGGACGTCAAAATTATAGTGCATTTAGATTCATAGAATTACCAACAGGGCAAGTAGACATGGGTCCCTCTGTAGATATAATCATTAAAACGTTTGTTGTTAGGCAACAATCAGGGGCAATCTTATTTTTGGCAAAATAAATGGATAAGAAAAACATGGTTGAGAAGTACCAATCACATCTACTGATGTTCTGAATATTGTTGGAGCTACTGGCTCCCTAATTACTTCACACTTCCTGCAGAGGCTTATACATCCGGGGGGTGGGGGGTGGGAGGACATCCATTCCTTGATTGATCCCATCCTGGATGATAAAGTGAGTTGTGACTATGCTGTTGTGCTCTCCAAATGTCAGATACTGTGACCATGTTCTCTAATGTCACGCTTCCTCCTTTACTTTCATGTAATCTGATAACATACACAGACGGGATTCATATCATTCCAGACCATAAGATAACATGTCTTTTTGTAGCATATAGTAATTTAATCATGGTGTCTAAGATGGGTTCAAATCAAGGGTTGGTTGAAGAAACTTGAAGACGTTTCACCTGTCATCCAAGAAACTTCTTCAGTTCTGACTTGTTGGCTGGGAATCCCAGCTATTTAACCTCTGTGGGGTTGTTATCAAGGTGATGGATACCACTTGGTTCGTTAGTGGTCCTTGCTGTTGAAACGACATCATTATGGTCGTTACTTGAGGCCAAGTCTGATTGACTGTCTTTGGCATGTGAGGCCAAATGTGGGTGTTTGTTAAATTTCCTGGGAAGGGATGAAAGGACATCATTGAGAGATGGGTTCTCTACTCAGGTGTAGATGGTTTCTTTCACTCCTCTTTCAAACCATCTGTACTCCCTGTCCAGAATATGTACATTGTTGTCCTTGAAAGAGTATCCCTTACCTTTCAAATGCTAGTAAACTGTGGAGTCTTGATCTGAGGAGTTGAGTTGAGCCATCCATTTGTGTAGTGGTTGTAAAGTTTTCACAGTATATTTGTCTGTGCATTTGTCATTGTATTGGACTGTTTACACTAGATTGCATTTCTTGTGTTTGGGTTTGCGGTTTCTCAGGTGGACCACTATCTGTCTTAGCATGTTCTTGGGATGCGATGTTTGTTGAAAATCCTTTCTCTGGAGTTTCTCTCATACTCCAGACACCTATGGAATCACAGTGTTGTTGTATTTATTCTTCTTTTCCTCATGACCCGTAGTGTTGGTGTTCTTCATGGATCTTGTGGCTGTTTTCACAAAGGTCCAGTTTGGATATCCATAAGCTTTAAGTGCATCCTTCAGGTGTTTAAGCTCCATCTCGTGGACTCACTTGTTGGTAGCTTTGAACCCTGGATTACTATGACCTGGATGAATAAGAATCTTCATAGACATAAATTACAGCATATTAAAAGTCAACTGCTTCTTCATGTTAAAATGTTTGCCTGAAGCAAACTGTATCCATGATTTGGCACTTTAGTCTTGATTTGAGTTTATTTACAATCTACAAAAGAAAACAGATTACAGAAAACAGAATTATTTACTATAAATAGTTAACCTTCATAACACTGATTTTCTATTGACTTCATATAGATATTGATAGATAGTGATAGGTTTTGGTGTAAAAGCTAATGTAAAATACTCTGTTGATGTCAGATTACTATAAAGTTATCTTCTAGGTCTAGGTCAGCTTCATAAATGGTTGGTGTTATTTTCAAAAAGGTATGTTAAAGAACAATATTTCTGGGGGTGGACATGTGTGTTGTGGATGTATAAAATCTTACATTTACATTAAAGCAATATCATTCATATACAAAATTAAATGTCCACAATTCAAATGATAAAGAAAGTTCAATTGAGTTACATTGAGAGGGGAATAAGGGTGGAGGTGTGTGTAGTTTAGTTCAATGGGGAGCAGAAGGTAAGGTCCTGCCCATAGCTGGGCAGAAGGATAGAGAAGCCTGGAGAGATACAAGAAGGAAGACTTAGCTTTGCTGTTCCACCAGGACAAGGAAGCTCCAAGCTGCAACCAAGCAGGTTGAAGAGCACGTTAACATGGTTGTCCACACCCACTCTAGAGTTCAGCACAGTTTCCCACAGTCCTTTGTCGGTCATTTAAGTTCACGAAGTCTGGCTAGTTCTTGGTACCACTGCTTCTCCAGCACTTCTATATGCATCTCAATTTCACTCCAAGGCCAGGATGCCTAAAACCAGATTCATTTAACAACCTTTATCTTTCCTCTGAACTTCTCACTCCTCTGTTCTCCTTCATGCATGAAATATTTGTCCTTACTTTCCCCCCAGCTCACACATGCCTAATTTATCTCCTCCTGCTCAAACCACACCCCCAGTCAAAAGCAAAAGGCCCACTCTGCCACTCTTCTACCCATCTCTGCTACAATATATCGCTCCGCACTGAAGAGGGGCAAGGTGCTGAATATACAAGGTTGTTTCAATTGACTGGCATATATAAGGAGTCATGCTCTGATATTGATGAATTGACTAATGTTGTTAGAAGCTGATATCTTATTGTGAAAATGTTGTTATTCCAGACAAAATTGTTCAAGTCTACCCAAAGTCCCTTGAAATGCTACTGTATAAAAAGAAAAGTGAATTTACGGAAGGGAACATCTTGCAGTTGCGCAAGCTGAAGCAGCTGAAAATGAAATTGGATGAACAGGATGAATAATTTGATTTGCATCTGGGACAACATAAAAACCATTGTAGGGCTCAATGAAGGTAGGAGTAATGCAGAGCTACAAAACAAAAAGTTTTATGTAAGATTTGATGTTCATGATTTCAGCGACAAACCCTTTGAGTTTAGAAATAGACTCTTTTCTGCTTCCCCCTCTAATCCCTGGTTGGAAGAGTGGCGTGTGATCAAGTGTTTTAAAGGTTGTAGACCCAGGAAAAGCCAAGGCCCAAATACCTTCTGGCTGTAGTATGTGCAGAGCAGATCCTATTTCAATTATGTCTTCCAGCTGTAACTTACTCAGCAGAGGATGCCATTTCTATGGAAGTACTAGTGGGCTGTCATGGTTCCCGTTGCTAAGGGTAACCACCCCCAAGCTCTTTACGACTTCAGGCCTGTGGCTATAACCTCCTTGGTTTTAAAGTCATTTGAAAAACTAGTCAAAGAAGAGCTCTTAGCTAAAACAGAGTGCCTTCTGGACCCTTTTCAATTTGCTTACAGGGCCAAGAGGGGTGTGCAAGATGCTACCATCACTCTTCTTAATCTACTATATAAAAACCTAGAAGGTAGTAGGAATCACACTATAATGCTTTTTGGTGACTTCTCATCAGCATTTAAGCTATCCAGCCACATGCTAGTTGAGAGACTAGTTAGTAATTTTAAACTACACGTAGCCTACCGTAAGCATTGTATGCTGGGTTCCTGACATTCTCACTAACAGAACGAAGAGAGTAAGGTTGAATGGTAAACTGTCTATTGAGCTAACATCATACACCGGCTCACCTCAGGGTTGCGTTCTCTTTCCTATCTTGTATATTTTATATACAGATTGAATGTATTTACAATAAAAAAAAATTAGTTTTCATTTGCTTTCAAGCTGATGTTAAATTAAGAGAAGATTGTTAATAGGTATGATACTAATTAGTGAGGCATAAACGAGAAACCAGTGCTTGCAAAAGGTTCCTAGGTATGTATCAAACAGGCATTGGGGGAATATATGCGCTATCTCGGCTGCAGTCTGAAAGGACGAGGCACGATGCGAATTTGCAACAATCTGTGTCAAAGAGTTATGACGACAGATATACTGTTACTCTGTAGTTATTAGTCTTCTCTGTGATGTGGAAATTGGTCATGGATCAGTTGTTAACAGCTTTGTTTCTTGGAGAGAAACAATTGTCTCCAACTTAATGTCTCTAAAACAAAAGATATGTGTATAGACTTCACATGCCTTTCCCTAGCTCCTCAGAGCAGTGTTGTCAAGGGACAGGCAGTGCCATCTGCATCTGCAATACATGGTTACCAATTATAAGAATCTGGGCACTATGACCATCTAAAATATTATTCTGAATTGTTGTGCAAGAAGGGCCAGCTAAATTCCAGATTGAAAAGACTGTAATGATCTATAGAGATTTTATTGAGTCTGTCATCTCATTTTCTGCTTGTATGGCAACCTTGGTACCAAACAGAGAAATGCCCTGGCTAAGATTATTAAAATAACCAGATAGATAGTGAGTAAAGTTTAGAAGTTTGAATCACATATTCACCAAGCAGGTGCTTTAAAAAAAGCAATGGCCATTTGGTCAGATTGCGCCTATCCCCTTAAAGGGTAATTTTGGTATTTTTAAACCTGAACCCTATTTTTTCAACATATTTTGGGGTTGAAATGACAGATATACAGATATAAAACACTTTGGAATCCATACAGTAGATGGCTTTAGCCGTCAGCCACAAACCAGCTGCAGTGGTTGTTTACAAAAAGTGCTTATTTTTGCCAGTGACAGGCTCAGACTGTTATATGAGGTGTCAGGAGGATGCCAGTGGAAACGTGAGTCAGAGTTAGAGAGAGGAGTTGGTTGTGTATATACTGTAATGTTGTGTTTGCGGCTGCCTGCTGAAGCCATCTACTACACAGATTCTGAAAGTTCTTGTACCTAATAGTCATTTCGATCCCAAAATATGGGAAATAGGGCTCCTGTTGAAGTCTTCATTCATCCCCGTCTCCATTCAGTCCTTGAAAACCAATGGCAGCAGGAGGTAACTGCTGCTGTTGTTGACAAATCCATTACCTTGTTGATGGTGATGCTGGATGGGAATGGGGATGGTGGAGAAAATGATGATGACGATATAGTGACAGTGTGAATTATGTTTTTTAATACTGAATTACAATATATCATGACATCTGTAGTGTTGATCTTATGTGGTAACACAGATGTCAAGGTTTATAGAGATGTGATTATGTTCTGTTAATGGTGATGTACATACAATGCATGCTTATATTGCTAAGGGATGTTGATAATAGTCAGTGTGCTTTATACCATCTATGAGCCCTGCGTGGCCAGGTGGCTAAGGTGGACACTTATAGCCTGCTTCACATGAGCTTAATTGACTCACTGTCCATTGGTGTAAGCCCTCTGCATGTGTTCAGGCCCACTGCTGTATGTTTCTATGCTATGACAAATGATAAGACTGAATTGAAGTTAATTGAATATTTATTGCAAAGCTTATACATAATCTCACTGTTCTAACTTCTATTAGCCTACTAAAAAATCTTTATCTGTTACAGATTCTAAATGTAGCACTTGAAGCATTTCAGAGTATCTTATGAAATGTATTCACATAGTTGAATGCACTTATTGTAAGCCGCTTTGGGTAAAGGCATCCGCTCAACAAATGTAATGTAATATTAAATATTTGAGTGCACATGTTTTGGGGCCTACTGACATAGAGAGGTGAATAAAAAACAATTAAAACAATTCCATCCTAACACAACCATTAAGCTGATGTGGAGTTTTAAAACCTGTTACTTAAAACAACTGTAAAATGAACTGAAATGTTTCCAATCCAATATAATCTATATTAAGAACAGCAATAATACTTATAGAAATAACTCCACGAAAGCAGATGCTTTATTTTTACTAGATCCATGAAATGTTAGGTCTCACTAATAGTCTAACTGACTAGTTAAGATGGTCATGTCAAGCAAGCTGTGACGAGAAGTGTCTCCTCATCAAGCTCCCAGGGCAGCCCCCAAGCACCCTGAGCAGGAGCACATTCTTTCCTCCCTAGTGAACTTAATTGTTTTTTAATTGGTTAAGTTGTGGCTCTAAATTAGATAAGGCAGTACTGACTTATAATTAATTGTGTTTGCTGGCTCTGTTAAGTCTGTGCTATAAAAAGATATGCTTGTCAGTGGAACTAACCTGGATTTAAAGCAAAAGCAGTGATTCAGCTAACCAAGGATATAAACACTCACACAAAATTGTTAGAGTGCAAAAGCTTGTGACTGGGACACTACATGCAAGTTCCCTTTGCCTTATGTAGAAAAACAGGAGTACCCTATGTGGTCACAATATAGCCAAATTAAAATGCCAGTGTCTTTGTGAGGCTCTACTAGGTCACACATGTTTGCCTTCTCATAAACATTTAGCAAAGATCAGAAAGCTAACATGCTCAGAAAGATAATGCTAGCTTGTTTATGTTAAGGTATAATGGCTGCCACCATCTTAATGTAGCATGTCAGCATGCTAACATCTGCTAATTAGCACTAAACACAAAGTAGCCTACAGCTGATATTGATCAGTTCCTCCTGTAGGCTACTACTATGATGCAAATGCCCACATTTGGTCCTGGGAGGCTGAAGACAGAAGAAGTTACACCAAACAGAAGTCGAGTTCGCACCCGCTGACACTGTCTGTGTGTTTAATGGGGCTAAATCTACTTTAAGCTGTCGAAATTTTAAAGTTCCGGATTTGCATCCTCATTAGCATTTACAGTTTTTTTTGTAGAATCCACTGTCCACAGTGATGCGCCATATTGATTACAGATAGTGCAGGAGATGACACAAACTTGTCTTCTTAACTTTGTTGCCTCACAGCCCCCCCCCCCCCCCGCTTGACACACACAGTCGGTTAGTCTGCTGAGTGACAGCCTGTTACAACTCCATTCAGTCTCCTGCTGTTGTCTGTGGTCACCTACACTGTGCTATAATGCAGCCAAATTCATGGTATAACTGTTCTCATTTTTACACGTTTCTGTTTCTGTTGTCGGGCAACTGGATGAGTTTAAATAAGGTATTTATTGGTATTAGGTATTATTATATTAGGTATCGTGATAGTCCATATGGGAACCTGTGGAAACCTTAGTTAGCTGTTTAGCACAAAAAACTTTCTAATGTCATTCTTGTTTGGATGCTTTGTCATGGAAAACGATAATAGGTTTACAGCACTGACTGAATGTGAGAACTACTTTCACTGGTGTGGAGTGCTAATTTAATACATCCTGACAGCTAAACTTTACTCATATGACTGCAATTGTCTTGTCAGAGCATACAATGGCGTGACTAAAGAGGAGGCGATGTATTGAAATTTACTGGCAGCTTTAAACTGCCCTATACGTGACCCTTGTGGTTTCATGAAAAGACTGTTCAAGGCTTCTTCAGCATCTTGCTCTCATTGCTTCAAAGAACTCAAACAAGGGATAGATGTGTGTGTGTGTGTGTGTGTGTGTGTGTGTGTGTGTGTCCCACCCATAGAAAAAGCACAAATAAAGGCCCTTTATGTTTTCACAGACAATTTGAGGATATTACAGGATTTCAGTCACACACACACACACACACACACACACTGATATATTGAATATATTAATGCCCCTTAAATGCATTTCTTTTTTTTTACCTTTATATAAAAAGGAAGCTCTCTATTGGTTGAGTCTTACCCCACCCTCCGCCTCTTTCCCCCCCGGTTTCCAGGGCAACCATGTCAGGTTGGAGGAAAAGAGCAAATCATGTGAGGGCATAGCATCTTTCTTTCTGTCTCCCTCTCCCTCTCCCTCTCTCCCTCTCCCTGTCTCTGTCTCCCCCCCTCCCCTTGTGTATAAAAGCCTCGCTCCCCATGCTTTCACTTCACTCTCAGCTCTCCATTGCATTGCAGAGACTGAAAACTGAAGAGAGGGGAAAGGAACACGACCTAAAGGAGATCTCTGTGTTACTGTGGGAGACATTGATTGACTTTCTCCTTTTTTCTCTCTCACGTTCATCTCCTCTTCACTTTCTCCCCCTCTCCCACTGTGGTTTGGATCTCAGCCTTTTCTTCGTCCTTCTCCTCCTTCTCCAGCGTCTTCACTTTGGTTGGACGGTGGCTGCATTGATGCAAAATGGGTTGTGGCAATTCCTCAGTCACGAGCAACTCAGGAGGGGGTGAGCGTTTTTAGGGAATATGTGTGTGGATCTGTATATGTGTATGTTTGTGTGACAATCTATGTGAGAGCGTGTGAGGGAGAGAGTTGTCACTGTATCTGCATCAAAGGGAGTGACTGTTTTGAATGTAAATTAAGTGTATCAGGGTTACCCTTGCATTCAGTGACAGTCCTCAGATGTGTTGGTGTGTGTGCATTATCTATGTGTGTGTGTGTGTGTGGTTCTCAGTGTCTTGATTTCAATAATAATAAATAAATAAACAGCTATATAGCATCATATATTTTGTACATGATATAAATATAATTAATTCTCCCACTCTGTATTGTGTGTGTGTGTGTGTGTAAGTACAGTGGTCTCCTAAAGCTATGAGTGGTGGGTCGATCATAAAGGGTCTCCCATATCCTCGTATAACACACCATAGCAGTAGCCTCAGGAATGTACCGCTTTGATGAATGGTAATGACATTAATACTGTGATTAGAATGTTAATGTCTACACTGACACAAAAGCAATTCCTCCTTATGTCACCTGTGTTTGTTTATGTGTTCTTCTTTCTCTTGGTGCGTATGCAATGGTTTCCATAGATTTTGACGATGAAAGATGAGCAGTTCCAGTGAAATTAACCTGTCTTTGTCTCCTCATTTGCTGGCTGTGCCTGTAAGCAGGCGTCTGTAAAATATTCAATCAATGGCAGGTTTCATTCATAAAGTATGGAGCTAAAATACTGTATCGCGTGGTTTTACCAACACTCGTTCAGATATCCTACTTTGTTGTGGCTTGTCCTTGAATAACACATCTCTCTGTCTCTGTTGGCTTAGGCTGATAGAATACCTGTTTTAAATTATACTGAGCAAATCTCTGGGCACCATAGCCAATTTGAGGTAATAATTAGATTGAAGTATCTGCAGGATTACCTCACCACCACTGCCTATTAAAGCAGCATGGTGTGTGTTTGTGCTTGTGTAAATGTGTGTCTTTGCAGGTACCTAATCAGTGCTTACCAGGCATGTTAACCAGAGACAGCTACTGGGAAAGGGGACCCAGCATTGTCTTTTGCTTTAAATATGATCTACTTGTTACACTGTCTGCAAACAACATCTAAGTATGTTGCTGTGAGTGTGGCTTGTTTGTCTATGAAGGACAACAGCTGCTTCCATTTCTGTGCAGTTAGTCTTATCCATTTTTCTTTTTTTTAGAGGTCAGTGCTCATCACAATGTCAAAGACGTGATGTCCTGTCACTTTGACAAATGTGGACTAGTGGTCTCCTACTCTATTATTTTCTGTAGAAATAAGATAAAAGCACTTCATATTTAATATTATTTTAACCTAGGATGTGTAATTGTGTCGCTACACATTTGTGTTTTATGTTAAATTGTTTATTTGATAACAGTGTTTTTACCCTAGCTGTTTAGCATTTATAAGTAGTATATACATATTTAATAAACTACATTATAATGTAGTTTTAAGCAGATATAAGTGGTCCATAACCATATCCTCCTGTTGAGGTTGATGTATAAACAAATAACAGATGACAGTATAGTAAGAAAATGTAGACAAATATTGTACATTAACAAACTTAAAATGTTTTTATAACTATGTACAACTACATTATAGGGTGCAATAAACCTTTATTAAATGTTTATATACTGCTTATAAATGCTAAGTAGGGGTAATTTGTAGTAATGTGTTTATTTGAAGTTCTTCCAGACAATAACAAAACCATAACCATAATTAAGGTCATTTAGGAAGCTTTAAAGTCAAGTCATACAAGAATGTTTCAATTTCAAGCTGTGGTCTCACTAGACTTAAATGTCGGCCTCAGTGCAGTCTGTATCACATTGCTCATCCCTAGTCTTATGCACCCAGATGCACCCTTGGATATGAATGAGATTTTGTCAGGCTACTGAATAGGCCCCTGTGTCATGTTGGCAGACTCAAACATTGACTGTGAAAATGGCCCTCCATTCCTTTTACAAGGATAAAATTCACTATATTTCTGTCTAATATAGATTCTCTACTTTTCTACAATAACATGTTATTCCTTTAAAGACACATTTCTACAGTGACACAGTGAAGTGTGGCGTGAAAAAATATTGTAGAGAAGAATTTATACTTTTGTTGTCAGTGTGATAGCATGTTCAAACAGGAAGTTAGATTATCCCCCAAATGAATTTATTATGATCTAATTTCGATTCAAATCAATTTCATTGGACTGCCTGTGGTTCAGCAAATAATGAGCTGTTGTCGGACCATAAAAGAGTCAAACAGCATTTGGATGAGCACCCTGGGTGTCATTTGGAATCGAGGCATTTTACACTGTATGCCTTGTGTCAGTTTACAACATGTCCTCTGTTACCCTTCAGAGGCAAGTTGGGATAACTATAAAAGCCAATTGTTAAGAGAGTGTGAGTAGCCTATGGTGAAAACCACTATCAGTGGATATACTGGAAACTTAAGCAAAGTGGCAATACCAAAAATATTACACTGAAATATAAATCTAGCACTGAAAGCTTTATTGGTAATTTTATTGTGTCATTGTTGTGTTGTTCGTTTGTGTTTTGTGCTGTTATATGCATTTTCTAGTTGACTTTTGTGTATTTTAAAGGCTAATCTAGGGACGGGCATTGCAGACAAGGGCTATAAATGGTGTAGTGTAGAACGCTGTGGAATTGGTTCATGCTATGTAATTGTACCTATAAAATACACATTAAATAATAAATAAATAAGTAGTATAAATAAGTAATATGTGCATTAAAATGAATATCAAAGAAAATGCCTATACACTGCTATTCATTTTTAATTATTCTTTTATTCGACAATGACATAATTTACATATTTAAACATAACATATCAGTTAAATATCTATTAAATTGTTCAACCTATTTACCTGTAGTTTCTGGCCTTAAATCACTGGCAGCTGATGGTCCACATGTTCACAGGTTGAAGTGAGAATTATTATACTGTATATTGTGTGTCTGTTCAACATGTGTGTTGAATGATGGCCTTCGAAAGAAACTGTTGCATGGTCCATGGATCTTAAGCACACTGGGATTCTTTGTTAGTGAGGTAACACACTTCCTTCAATACTTATGAATACCACAGTACTAATGAAAATTAATTATATGATGTGTTTTGATTTGTTTTCAGGGCCAGCAGAAGTCTCCAAGGAAGTGTAAGTACATCAGTCATTCTTAAAGTATTTATGAAGCTCATCATCTGTGGCCTCCAAGCTGTGTACATTCAGATCACACTGTACATCTTAACAAAAGAGCTTCATATATGTATTGTATGTAGTATTCATGTAGTATGGATCTGTGTTGTGGCAAAGGATTTACGTTTTTAAATCAGTGATGGGTGCACACAACAATAAAACAATATATTTTTCTATATTTTATTACATTTACAAACCCATGTTTATCAGTTTAACAAATTCATTATTATGTAAATGAATTTAGATGTAATCGATATGGTCAAACAATAAGGATTTGGCCTCTGAGCATTTTTTTAAGCTTCCTTTCACATTCTACATTACTTGAAGTTTTGCTCAGTACTAATAAATATAAATATAAATATTTATTTATTTTTGCCACATTAAAATTATACATTGTGCCTTTGGTATGAGTTTACACGTAGATGGAACAACATTAATATTTAAATTGTATATATATTTGACCACTGCAATGGACTGGCGCCCTGTCCAGGGTGTACCCCGCCTTTCGCCCGATGTCAGCGGGGATTGGCTCCAGCCCCCCGTGACCCTGTATGCAGGATAAGCAGTTGACGATGGATGGATGGATGGATGGATATATTTGACCATGAACCCCTAGTGGCTCTTGTTTTGTTTAACTAACAATAAGTTTCTTCTGGCTTTTGAAAAACTATCAATTCAGACCCATCAAGTTTCATACAGAGGACAGACTTTCAACAGTTAGTATTTATCAAAGCTTAGGGAGGGGCAGCATTTCCAAAGCATTTCCTGGAATCGTGCCTGTGTGTGTGTTTGTATATGTTCCTTGATAATCATCTGAGCCGCAAGCACAGGACCCACGAGAGCTGACAGCAGCACACTACTGACTCAGTCAAGAGCTAATCACAGCTTCCTAGGACTTTACTACACAGAAATATATTACACACACACACACACACACACACACACAAACAAGATGTACAACACAAACACAAGATTATGGGAATAATACACCCAAAAAGTGAAAGTCATTATTTTGCTCGCACTCCTGGAAAAGAACCAAAGTGAATAATGGTGCAGCTCCAAAACAAACAACAAAACAAACAAGTAAAAAAAAACACTTAGGTCACTGGAAACTGGTTGTTCAGGAGCCTGGTTCCAGACCTGAAACAACAATTGGCAGTCAGTTGCTCAGAACTCTCAAAAGGGAATTAGTAATATTCCCTACAGGGCTAATGCAGCATAGCTCAAATGTTCTGCAACAGCGTGATTGCACTTCCACAGTCCAGTATTGTGAGTTTTTATGTCCTCTGTGCTCCTGTAAGACCTGACCTGACCCATGCTTCTTCTCTCAATCAGGACAGAAGATCCCTCAGCAGAAGATGAGAAAAGAAGGTAGTTTCGCTTATTTTCTCCAGATTTTTGACTGCATTCACTATTTAAGTTCTTATTTTTCTGGTGCTGTTGGATGTTGGATAATGATCAAAAATACAATATTTGCTATGCATTATGGAATCTGAATATTAATAAGTATTTTTTATTGTCAATGTTATTAGTAACAACTGTGCTTTTCTTTCTATGAGTCAAAAAGGTCTTTAGATGACTGGCTACCTATATTTTTTAGCATTTCTTTTTCTTATTTACAAAGCCGTACATAATCTAGCACCCTCATATATCAGCGACTGCCTCTCATTTTGTGTCCCAACAAGTCTTTTAGAAGCCCCTAAAGGGATCTGGCGAGGCTGCTTTCTCTTTTATGGCCCTAAACTGTGGAACACCCTCCGCTTGGATCTTAGAACAGCGCATTCCCTTGCAATTTTTTAAAAGAAATTAATGACCTATCTTTTAACTTGGCTTTTCATTTGGGTTAACATGCTTGTATCATTTTTGTATCAACTATAAAATATAAAAAAATTAGCTTGCTACAATTGACTGGGGGGTAGCTTCTGTGTAGTGAAGCTTCATTTAATGTAGAGTAGCTAGTAGCTTAGCTCACTACATTTTCCAAGTAGCTTGCCCAGCACTGATTGTACTGTGATCAAACCTGTTTAACCTTCACTTGTTGCTGTTGCTGCTATTATTTTATTATAGTTTATTTTCATCTGTTTTTGTTAAGCACTTTGGGCTGCATCTTGCATGAAAGATGCACTACAAATAAAGTTGGTATTATTATTAAGTTATGAATAGATTTTACTCATATGCAAACTTAAGTCAAAATGTCCCCATAAATATTAGAGGTAGTTATTCTAAATTATCATTATTATTCCCAATATTTCCAGTATCACTGGTCACTGGTAATAAAGCCGTCTAATTCCATACTTTGAAACCATGTCAAATCACCATGCTTTTTACATTTATATGTGTGTGTACAAAGCATCTTAATGTAATTACTTAATAACAAGATGCAAAACTCAGATATAAATTCAAGGCACGCATATTATCAAATGCATAACAACGTCACACAAAGCCTAGTATAATATTTTATAAAAGGTGAGGTACCTTTCAATCCCTACGTTGTCTTTTATTAATTGCTACATTATTCTGCTCTCCTCTCAGGAACTATGGTGGCGTGTATGTAGGTCTACCAGCAGACCTGACCACTGTGGCTGCTAGTCAGTCCAAGTCCACGCGTAAAGGTAAACATCTGCACTGCACGTCCTATATTCTGGAAAATGAGTATCCGTCCAAAGAAAATTAACTGTTGGTGTGGTAAACTGTAGTTTATTTTAAGATGGTGCCTCTGACATTGATGAGCATCTTGTGGTGAAGCAGCTCAGGGCGTAGAAATAAATAAACCCTAGTGGCCTAGCCATCTCCCCATGAAATCATATACCTGCCTGCAGCGTTTTTGGTAATATTGACCTTTATTTTTTTATTTTTCTGAATCTTAATGAGAAGCATTCCCTTTACTATTAAAGTTTGGCTACTCATATTTGCGAAGATAAACATGATTCACAACATTTCCTTTTACCATGCAACAAAATATTTTTCAGTTATGTTTCTTTTTAAACATCATGCCCCTCATTACTCCTGTAAGGCTCCCCTAAGGCTCTCAAGTGTTACATGTTACTGATAACCACAACAGCGTTATTTATTCTCTCATTCTAATACAGTGTGTGGTGATATTGACTTAATTGACCACCATTTATGTGACTACTTTTCTGACAGAGCTATGTAAATAGTGACATTGTATTGTAATGTGACCAGTATTAAGAAACAAACTGCTGCCTTACTGTTTTATCTTGTAGTCCTGAAGGTTTTCCTGTTGTCGTGTCCTTTTGCTCATTGAGTTCATTATAATAAGGAACTGATTAACTTTTGTATCCTCTTCCACAACAAGTACTCTTTTTTCCACTGAGGTCTCTCAATTCAAACTGGAATTATGTGTGGAGTTGTTTTTGAGCACAGCTGCTGATTCTGTTTTTTCTCCTTCTTGCAGACTAGCAGCTATTGAAGGGAACACAACAAAGGTACTCTAAAGAACAAGGCTGCTTGTTCAGTTCTTACCATCACCTGCTCTTCTGTATTTCTTCTCTTTTAAAGTGAACTGAAGCTGGTACAAAGACTCAAATGAAATGACACTATTCTTTGTCTCAACAGGATCCGACATATTCATTCACCTGGAGACACTCATATTACAAGCAGAGAGCATGTAAGTGCTCTGATTCTGGCTCACCACACACAGAGTAAAGTCTCAGGTTTTAACACTCTCATTGAGCGAGGATGTGGGTAGAATGCAGGGGCTCTGAAGACGCTGCCTCGTGGAGTCATGGTTGGCACAGCGGTGCAGGGCACAACGACGCAGGGACACACAGAAGAGGTCGGCATACGGCATCCATCATCACCCTTCACTTTGCAAAAAATAGATGGCCATCGAAGTGGACAAGCACCCATCCTGGGACCGGCATTATTGGGTGGTGGCAGCGGGCATTGTGACAGCCGTCTTGACTTTTCGGTCACGACACTGGAACGTTCTTTCTCAGGAGGAGACAGGGGACCCAGCCATGTAACAAACTAACTAACTGTCTGGGAATTGAACACATTCCCAAATGCCCTCTGCAATGATAATCACAACTCTGTTATTTCTCTAAGTCTAATCAATGATTCATTGTGTGGCGGAGACAGAGTTAGAGAGACAGAGTTTCACAGAAAGCAGCACACAAATTCCTGTTAATGCACCACAGAATGTTTCAGCGTTATATTATTGATTTCAATCAGGGACATGCCGCTGCAACAGAAGAGTCTGAAAACGACTCTGATTTTAATGATGGGTTAAAGTGCTAACAACAATGAGTTAAGCAAAAAGTGTTTTAATCAATGTCCCCAAATGTCCTTAGCACGCAACTACGTTGTACCTGTTGTTGTTAACTTGTGGCCCAGACTGATTGTGTAACATCAGCATATGACTCATGACACTTAGAGGGTCTCTCTCTCTCTCTCTCTCTCTCTCTCAAGCTCTCTCTGCAGCATGTTGTTTTTCCCCCTGAAGAGCTCTGATTCTAGTGCTTCTGGGTAATTCACACTGTTCTTACAATCTTTCTCAGAAGCAGAACTGTCACACAGTTTGTTCATATCTCACAACATTAAAGTGATCTAATGTGTAACAGTGAAAAATGTCATTAAGTTCAGCTGCAAAAAACTGAACAAAGGAAACATGCTAAGAGACACAGAAGTGGTGATTTTTTTAATCCTTGTTTTTCTTACGTTTTTTTGACATTGCTTTGTAGCACCTGAACTGCATTATGATATGGCAAGCCGTTTTAACATTTATTCTTTAAAACTTACTTTTTGCTATTTAAAAGCTACTAGTACTTATTTATTAGTTACAAGTTACTATTCCATTAGCTACTTGTAACTATTCCCGTTTTACTAGTAACAATTGATTAGATACTAGTACTTAATTTTTAGCTACTAGTAACGACTTGCCATAATTATAATCTATTCCATACATTATGTATCACACTTTATTGTGAACGTTGTACTTCTGTATGTAATTGTTGAAGGTAGCTGGTGCTATTGTGTAGTTTTGTTCCCATGAAAAGATAAAACCAACAATGTTTTAGTGTGAAAAAAAGTTCTCATCACAAGGTCCTCACTTGAAGCTAACAAAGCTTTCAGCCAGATCTTGTGGCCTTCTCTAGCTGATGGAGTTGTATTATAAATATACCTGCTACTTCAAGCTCAACAATGTTTTAGTCTGTCTCTCAATACTTTTCATCCTCTGTACCCTCTGTGACACTCAGCCCCAAGCTTATTGTTGGTTTAGTTCTTTTTCATGGGATCTGTTGACAATAAGAAAAATATAGAATATCACCAGCCTTATCTTTTAACAGAAAATCTCACATCACAGTGTCCCCAGAAAAAAACACATTACAGCTGGGCGGTCATTTGTCAGCAGGGCTCTTGGGTTCTCTCTTCTATTGAATGTATGACATCCTCCACTTACCAGGACCCTAGAGGAGGATGGAAATAGGCCAACTTTAAACACTTGAGATTCAAGAGATGTTTCCACGCTACACAAAACACCTGTGTGTAGCCTCGGCTGCCTCGACTTGCCAGTCACACAAAATTTATGAACAAAAGCTCACTATTTACCGTTGTTTTCTTCAGTGGAACGCCTTCTAGTTGCCAAGTTATGTTGCCGATTATCAGTCACATTGATACCAAGGGATTTCATGTCTTCATGTATTTTGATTGCAAGCCATTTGTCACCATATTGTCGCAGCGTTTACACTGTTCACCTGTGGTAGAGGCAGAATATACTAAAGAGCTGCTTTATGTACTGTGTAGTTTATACAACATTTTTAACATATAAAAAAGAGCTGCAGTGTGCCTACAGCGCTGCAGCACTGATTTGATCAGAACCCCGCCTGAGACATTATATTTTTGGTGTCCCTTTTCCTTGATGTCTACATTTCCTCCCTGCTGCTGCCTCAGTTTCCCTGCAGTCCCTACCAGAGGCATTTAGCTTTGACAGCGTGTTGTGCCGCCTGTCTCTCCCTCTTTTATCAGCCCCTCTTTGCCCTTTATGGTTGTTCCTCCTGTACATGATGAATGTCATTGCCTTTGCCCTATTCAATTAGTCCAACAGGGACAAGGGGGCAGAATGTGGATGCATAACACAGGTGGAAGCAAAGCCCTCTACAATTAAATGCCACTGTGGCACATTGTGGGATATGTGTAAAAAGCTGTGCTACACAGCATGTTATTTGAATGTAGTAAAGGTGGGGTGTGCTTTGAGAAGTTTGGGAATACCTTTATGTGCTTTCTTCCATTAAGTTAGATTGAGACTGATACCACTTTCATGTCTGTATGCTAAATGTGAAGCAACCACCAGCAACCAGTTAGCTTTGCTTAGCACAGAGACTGAAAATGGGGAAACAGCTAGCCTGGCTCTGTCCAAAGGTGACTAAACTCACCTACCAGCACCTCTAAAGCTCACTTTTTAACATATTATGTCTCATTTGTTTCATTTGTGAAAAACCAAAGTGTAAAAATGGCATATTGTGGTTTTTGTTGGGTCTTAATGCTAAACTAAGCTAACCTGCAGGCTGTAGCTTCATCTTAACCAGACAGACATGAGAGTATTATTCATTTTCTCAGATTACTCTTAGCACGAAAGCAAACGAGTGCATTTCTACAAAATGTCTAACTATTCCTTTAATGTTTGGAGATGTAAGATCCTTCAGGTTTTTGACCACTTGAGGTCAAAGTAGCTGTGAATTGTTTTAATTATTTACTGTCCACACACTGGAAAAGACCTGAACTGGTCATTAAAAACTCACCAGTGTCTCTTTATGCTGTTGACGGCTGTATGATGTCATGAGGAGGAAATGACTGAGGTGACTGGGTTTGTTCAGTGATGTTTCACGTTGAAAATCACATTTTACAGGCTATATTCTCTGTCTCACATGTTCTGTCGGTCTTTCAAATCACACATACTCACACACAAATTACCTGCTCATCATAAATGTCCACACACCTTCCCAAACACAATGTCCAATCGACCTAATTCATCAATGATGCTGACATGAACAAAAACAAACAACTTGACTGCCTCTGTTCATCCATTATCATCTGATTCAATTATTTATGATTAAAGACTTTTATATTGTCTCTGCACAGTTGTGGTTATTGATTGTGGTCTTTGTTAAAATGAATCTGCCTTTTGTAATCAATGAGCCCGAAACTTGAGGGATTACAAGTGTTCTTAGCGAGTGTCATAGACAAAATCAAGCGAGGACGGCTAAGGAGAATATTTGTCATTGAACTGAGGGCTTTTGTCCGCCTGCAGCATGATCAATCACAGCGCCATCTCGTAATTGACTTGCTTGTTAGGAGTGCATGGAGGAGCAGGAGGTAGTAGAGAGATGGCAACTCCATCTTGTCTCTCATTGCACAGCAGTAGTTTCCCAGCAGTATATAAACTAATTAAAATTAGCTCCACCTTTACCAGCTGCCACATTAAAGGAACATCAATGCATCAATAATTACAATCCTAATATGATAAGCTCAAATGGGTGATTCTACTTAGTGAGTACTTTTACTTTTGGTACTTTAAATATATTTTGATGCTTACTTGATACTAGATACTTGATACTTTGAGTACTTCTTCCACCACTGGGGACAGAAAGCTGTAGAGAACTGACTTATATCACACAACTAGCCTACGCCTACCTGCCCAAGTTTTGACACATCTGGCTCTCATATTTGCAGCTCAATATCCCTAGAGGTTATATTCACAATGGACAAATCTGCACACCACAATTTCATGTCCAATCCCTAATTTAATCTCCCCAAATAAAGGTCTTGATTTGTAAAAAAAAAAAAAAAAAAAAAAAAAGAATAACCTGAACCTTAACTTGTGTATGTGGTATTGGCAACATTACCATTGGGTGTTAATAGCAGAAATATGCAATATTGGCGCACTTGTCCCATGATAAGATGCCACAATACAATTCACATAACACTGTCAACTATTTTATTGAAGAACTAGTCCCTTTGAAAGTGGTTGACTGTGAGTTCTGCTGAGTATCCAAAGTTACATGGACACTGTGAAACATATGCTGCTGTTGAATTTTAAAATTGGAGGACCAGTTCACTTCAGTTTGTTAGTTTGCAATTCACAATGGATATTAGGAAGGCTTTTCTATTGTGATGGGTAATGGTTTGTTGTTGTTATCTGTGTACTGAACACTTTTAACATACATGATGTACCCTTAAGAAACATTGAGGGTTTTATTTGTATAGTAATCACACACCACTCTCATTTAAATTGTTCTGTTCTCAAAACTGGGACAAACCAATCATCTGCGTGGCTAGATACCATTATCGGAGAAAAATAAATTTGGCTTATCCAGCTCTTTAAATCTTACTTGTGTGGCAGTACTGCATTCCTTATGGTGAGACATACAGAGACACGTTAACTTCCAATACAGTAGTCTCATTACTTTTCCTCTGTTGATGTTCCAGCTGCATCGATGGAAATGGTTCAATAAAAACATTCCATTGTGTCTATACTGTATACCACATGACTGGTTATATCATCAAGTACTAACGATAGTATTGAGGGTGAAATCCAACTCAATAGCATGTTATGTCAATAAAAATCTAAGCCATTTACTTGCTATCTGTCTTTTAAAAACAAAGTGAAGTTTCCAAAACATGGTGCTCCATTTTCCGGTGAGGTAAATGTGAGTGGTGTTCTTTGCATCGGACACAGATAAAAATCTGTCTCTCTGTGTGTGAGCTGTGAGAGCTACGTGATTGAGAACATGTCCTTAATCAGATCATCTGTGCATCTGGCCCACCGCAACATCACAGCTGCTCTTTCTCCAGCTGAAATTCTTAGTCAACATAGTGTTTCCCTTGAGATGATCCTCTATGATGTTGTCTCTGCTTTACCTCTAAACTAGTTCACTATCCAAATGTATGATAAAATGATACGGAAAACAGACATTTCTAATTTAAAAGTATTTTGGTATCTAATTATATTCCACACACCAATAGATATAGAATATCCCAACTCAGTTAAACAACAACTTTGAAAATATTTTTTGCCATTAAAGTTGAGTTGTCACAGGTATACACCTGTGACAACTCAACTTTAATGGCAAAAAATATTTTAACAAAACTTTCATAGTTATCTGAGGTGTTCAAGGAGCTGTTTAACCACCATCCATGTTTTATTTTATTTTATTTTTTTTGTCAAAATGACTGAAGCTGAAAATAGCTCCTCTATTTGTGCATCAAATAGTGGGACAGTATTGGACAACAGCAGCATCAATAGCACACTCAAAAGTGTTTTGTTCACTATGCATACTGGCTTTTTAAAGTATCCTTAATTTTGCCACTCAATTTTGGCCCATCTCAAAATTTTTAAATCATGCCACAAAGAGCAGATGAAAGAAACTACTTATATAAATTTTTGCCCTGATAAAGGCTTTACCCCCTTTAAGTGGCTTTAAGTGTTTTTTTTTCATATAACTGAGACGATACATTGGACATGTTCGTTTTTCTTATTCCACATACTGTCCAGTTTCAAATGATTTCTCATTTATTTTCTTCACACAATAATTTCTTCATTCACTTGAATATGGTCCATGATGTCAACACTGGACAATAAGCAAAAAATAATTTAATGTATGCATTGTGTCCAAATTCTGGTAGAAACTAAATCTGACCGAAGTATCATATAAAAGCTCCCCTCACAAAATTGTAGCTGTAACTTCACTTGTCACCAGTAGATGTCTCTGCAGCACAGCCCAAGCTTCAACCCTGGGCAGACATGACAGCAAGAAAAGATCCAGCACACCCAATCAACATGTTTGGTTAATAGCTACATTCCCAGAGTTATCCATGAAAAGTGAGAAGTATGTTCTTCTCCCGCACCCAAGGCCTGCTTTAAGTGATAAAATGGTGAAAGCCAGCCAGCAGCTCCCACAATCTTCTCCTGTTGACTTGTGAAGCCAGAGGGTTACACTAATCTTTGGCGCCAGAGTTGCTAATCTAGCCCAATAACTGTAACAGGGTGCTAATCACTGTTTTGGTGGAAAAAACCTTGCCAGCTTTTCCATGGCAATCAGGCTACTTAGAGGCCCACGTGAGCTTACCCTGACGAGTTTATAGCAGATGTCAGACTCAATCAAGGACACTACTTTATGTTTTTCACAGTAATGAGGCTGAAACCTGAAAATGGGTGTTTTGTGTTCCCAATATTCCCAGTAATGACTTATCTGGCCTTTTAGCCTCCTACTGAGAAAAAGGGGGAAAAGTGCTTTGCTGCAACGTGAATATACAAAAAACATTTACATCAATACCTACCCCTGACTTTATTCCATTTATTCTCCTCCACTGATGACACTATCATCCCCCTCAATCCATTAAAATTAATAGTTTTTTGTTATGTTCTGCTCTGTGGTGTTTGTGTGTGTGTGGAGGTAGAGCGGATTGCCCACTAATTGAAGGATTGGCGGTTTGATCCCCTGGCTCCTCCAGCCTGCATGTCAAAGTGTCCTTGGGCAAGATATTGAACCCCTAATTGCTCCTGGTGTGTGACTACAAGTAAAATACAAGGACAGACCATTTACTACAAAAATTTTATTCTACAACAATGTGTTGTAAAATTACTATTAAATGCACACTTATTATACAGCCTTTGTAATTTTTCTTAAAATGTGGGGGTTTTAGGAACATGGAGGGAGTTTACAGTTGGTGGGTGTATTATAGGTTGTTTCAAAGATTTACTTTATGTGTTTGTTCCAGAGTTATTTTATGACATATAAAAATACTTATCTTAGAATGATTTGTGTCTGATATGGCTATTCAACAAAAAGTTTGATTCCTAAAATTATTATTTTTTCCTTCCTTCCTTTCCCCTTCATTGAACAAAAATCCAGAATCTATGAATATGTGAATGTTTTTCATTTCAAAAAGGTTTTACTTTTAGAAGCTATGTATGTTTCCTACTTTACTGAAGAGTCTTCAGTTTCTAGTTTCCACAACACACACTCAAATTGCATATCAGACCAGGATTAACTGATTGATTCCAAACTAGTTGTGGTGTCACATAATCTTGCTTATACATACATGCCGTAAACTAAGATTTTAGGGGAGCACAAAAAAACTTTCCACCTTCAGTAGAATGTAAAAAAGCATCCTTTTAGGGTCAAAGTCTGCACGTATATCATTCTGCACAAGGTCTAAACATCCAAGGAAACTAACAATCAAAACACATTTCTAAGTGGAGGGGGGCTTTAAAATTTGACAATGTTTACAGATAAGGTAATTGATAAAACATTCTATATTAAATGATCTATATATGAATATTTAAAAGAATTTTGAGACTTTATTTATGGAGTCTGGCCAAATTATGCTGGGGTTAGGGGCAACATGGACCCATGGCCTCAGTATTTCCAAAATCCTGGCTACGGCCCTGCCAGCAAGGCTTGCATTTTGTTGAATATAGAGAGTTCTGTTTCTCTCCCTTTGGGTTTCACTGAACGATTCCTCCCATACATCATTGACAGACATGTTAAATTAACGTGACTGATGAGGTTAATAAATATCATGCATTCTTCCCTTATGCAATCTTGCTCCAGGACAAAGCAGTGATGTAAGAGTTAGTGATACTTCTGCCCTGCATCCATGGCCTGTCCCGTCCAGACATCACAGACCGTGGCGAATGAACAGTACAGTACTGCTTGTGTTCTCAAAGCATGTCAGACTCAATGTCAAGGCCTCCTTCCTCAGCAGACTTTCAACTGCCACTCAAATTTCAGTCCGAGAGCTTGAAAGACTTGCAGGACACATGATACAGTCGTCCCATTGAACTGAATTTGACATGCAATGCCAGGTCAGTTAGTTCAATAAATGCTCTCAGGCTCTGCAATTTGGCCTGCCACTTGGCCTGGACCAAAATGTGGCACTCCAGACCCGGGGGAGGGGGAGAGGAGGTGGAGGGGTGGGGGACCCTGTCGGTTGTGGCGGCTCCCCGCTTTACTCTTGGCTTCACTGTGCATGTGCTTCCAATTACAGACAAAAGAGAGGCGGTCCTGTGCAGCATGTGGTTCCATTTAGAGCAGGTGAAACAATGTAGGAAAATAGATCCGTCATCCGTCG